CAGTACAATATTTACAGTACAGTACAGTATTTAACATGTACAGTACAGTAGTTACATACAGTATTTACATGTACAGTACAGTATTTACATGTACAGTACAGTATTTACATGTACAGTACAGTATTTACATGTGCAGTACAGTTTACATGTACAGTACAGTATTTACATGTACAGTACAGTATTTACATGTACAGTACAATATTTACAGTACAGTACAGTATTTACATGTACAGTACAATATTTACATGTACAGTACATTATTTACATATACAGTACAATATTTACATGTACAGTACATTATTTACATATACAGTACAATATTTACATGTACTGTACAATATTTACAGTACAGTACAGTAGTTACAGTACAGTATTTACATGTACTGTACAGTATTTACATGTACAGTACAGTATTTACATGTACAGTACAGTATTTACATGTACAGTACAATATTTACAGTACAGTACAGTATTTACAGTACAGTATAGTATTTACATGTACAGTACAGTATTTACAGTACAGTATTTACATGTACAGTACAGTATTTACATGTACAGTACAGTATTTACAGTACAATTTGCATGTACATTACAATATTTACATGTACAGTACAGTATTTACATGTACAGTACAGTATTTACAGTACAATTACAGTATTTACAGTACAGTACAGTATTTGCATGTACATTACAATATTCATGTACAGTACAGTATTTACATGTACAGTACAATATTTACATGTGTACAGTATTTACATGTACAGTACAATATTTACAGTACACTGTACAGTACAGTATTTACATGTACAGTACAATATTTACATGTACAGTACAGTATTTACATGTACAGTACAGTATTTACATGTACAGTACAGTATTTACAGTACAGTATAGTATTTACAGTACAATACAGTAGTTACAGTACAGTATAGTATTTACATGTACAGTACAATATTTACAGTACAGTACAGTATTTACAGTACAGTATTTACATGTGCAGTACAGTATTTACATGTACAGTACAATATTTACATGTACAGTACAGTATTTACATGTACAGTACAATATTTATATGTACAGTACAATATTTACATGTACAGTACAGTATTTACAGTACAGTTCAGTATTTACATGTACAGTACAATATTTACAGTACAGTACAGTATTTACATGTACAGTACAATATTTATATGTACAGTACAATATTTGCATGTACAGTAGAGTATTTACATGTACAGTACAGTATTTACAGTACAGTTCAGTATTTACATGTACAGTACAATATTTACAGTACAGTACAGTATTTACATGTACAGTACAATATTTACATGTACAGTACAATATTTACATGTACAGTAGAGTATTTACAGTACAGTTCAGTATTTACATGTACAGTACAATATTTACAGTACAGTACAGTATTTACATGTACAGTACAATATTTACAGTACAGTACAGTATTTACATGTACAGTACAATATTTACAGTACAGTATTTACATGTACAGTACAGTATTTACAGTACAGTTCAGTATTTACATGTACAGTGCAATATTTACATGTACAGTATTTACATGTACAGTACAGTATTTACATGTACAGTACAGTATTTACATGTACAGTACAGTATTTACATGTACAGTACAAGTGCAGTATTTACATGTACAGTACAGTATTTACATGTACAGTACAGTATTTACATGTACAGTACAATATTTACATGTACAGTACAGTATTTACATGTACTTACAGTATTTACAGTGCAGTATTTACATGTACAGTACCTTTATTTACAGTACAGTACAGTATTTACATGTACCGTACAATATTTACAGTACAGTATTTACATGTATAGTGGTCCTCGGTTAAAGAACACAGTTCGTTCCAGAAGGTCGTTCGTTAACCGAAACCATTGTTTCAATGGGAATTTGGGTAATTGGTTCCAGCTCATCGAAAATTACATACAAACTAAAAATAAATGCAATAAAGTACACTTACTTTAAAGTGTGCATGTACAAGGCTCCTGGTTGATGATGATGGGAATTAGAAGTGGGGGTGGAGGAGAAATTGCCCCATGCTTGATGCCGTCATTTCACCCATAAAATTTTAAGTTCACTTGGTGTAATTCAAGATTACAGTATTTTCTTTAATCAACACTGCGCTGCACTACATATTGTCAATATGTTAAATAAATTTCAGAATGACCAATAAATGTACTGTAGTTACCCGATTTACGCGGTCAATTGAACCCACAGGGTACCGCTGAAAGTGAACAACAGAACATATGGGATTAAATCCAATAGAGACTGGCCCGACCCCCAAACTCCATTTTTTCCGACACAATACCTATGTTGTAGTAAAAATAACATCTAAATTTTATGATGGTATGCTCACACAACTAATATTTAAGAGAAATACAGTCGCCAGGTTAATGTCCATTCAAATAATGGACTCAAATCCCCCCCCCCATTTCTTCCCAGCTCACTAGCTCCTACCTCTCTGAGAAATGATTGGGTGAAAACACTACATTTTAACGTTTAGTAATAAATAATACCTCAAACTAAAGTTAGGATAATATAATTGACATTTCTGGATTCCTTGCAGGTCAGGGAATATTTTGAATGTAAACTTCATATATTTTGCACAAAAGATAACGTATTTGCTTTGTGTAAACCAAATTATTACATTAGATCTAAAATTTATATGTCTAATGCAAAATCCATGATGTTTATATTCAAAATGATCATCATATTGTAAGAATTCCAGCAATGTAAATTATATTCTGGTCGAGTAATTTGTATGAATTTTATGAGTTAAAACAACTATCTTCAGTTAATAAAAAAAAAATATTCTTCACGACACTATCTGTCAATCAAAGTACCCCACCTTGCCTCCTCCCCTCCTCACACTCATGCCAGCTGGATCGGTCGGTCCCAACCCTCCCCCCACCCCCCACCTTCCCTCCCTACCAGAGAAATGTTGGGTGAAAAAACTAGATTTTACCCTTTAGTAATAAATAATACCTCAGACTAAAGTTAGGATAATATAATTGACATTTCTGGATTCCTTGCAGGTCAGGGAATATTTTGAATGTAAACTTCATATATTTTGCACAAAAGATAAAATATTTGCTTTGTGTAAACCAAATTATTACATTAGATCTAAAATTTGTATGTCTAATGCAAAATCCATGATGTTTATATTCAAAATGATTATCATATTGTAAGAATTCCAGCAATGTAAATTATATTCTGGCTGGGTAATTTGTATGAATTTTATGAGCTAAAACATATATCTTCAGTAAATAAACAAAGAAATATTCTTCAAGGACACTATCTGTCAATCAAAATACTCCGCCCTAGCTGGGTCAGTCCCTCCCTCCCTCCCTACCAGAGAAGCTTTGGGAGAAAATAGTATATTTACATTTTTAGTAATAAATAATAACTCAGACTAAAGTTAGGATAATATAATTGACATTTCTGGATTCTTTGCAGGTCAGGGAATATTTTGAATGTAAACTTCATATATTCTGTACAACGGATAAAATATTTGCTTTGTGTAAACCAAATTATTCTGTTAGATCTAAAATTTGTATGTCTAATACAAAATCCATGATGTTTATATTCAAAATGATCATCATATTGTAAGAATTCCAGCAATGTAAATTATATTCTGGCCGGGTAATTTGTATGAATTTTATGAGCTAAATAAAAAAAAATAAAAAATTAATTATACTTCACCGTGTATATGAGTAGATGCACCGCGGAAAGTGAAAGTCCGGTTCTGGCAAGGTACCGCGTAAATGAGAAATCGCGGAAAGTGAAACCGTGTAAAGCGGGGTAATACTGTACTGTAAAAACGTAAAAATACTCTGTGTTCAAGAGAGCCACAAGCAAGATGTTTCCTCCACTGAACAGAGACACAAACTGACGCCTTGGTGGGTGAGTGAAGTGGCTGATGGGCGCACCAAAAACTAGTTCCCTGTACTGCAATTATGTTAGATAAGTGTTAAAATGACTAAAAAATTTAATATAATAGTACAGTTAACCCTCACTTTACGCGGTTAATGTAACCCGGAGGGTCCCGCGTAAAGTGAATAACATAACATATGGGATTAATTGAAATGGAGTCCGGGCCGATCCCCAAACTCCACTTTTTGACGACACACAACTATGTTGTAGTAAAAATATTATCTTAACTTTATGATGGTATGCACACACAATTAATAATTAAGAGAAATATCAATAATATTAGGTTTTTTAACACTTACATTAGTAGAAAAAATGGCTGGGCACACGGGGATGGGCGGTTGGTTCCGAGGCAGAGGGCAGATTATTGGCCCTCACCTGTGTCACTTGTATCAATTGTATCACTATCCACCACAGAGGCTTGCAGGGCCTCTTTGTCAAACTCCCCAAAGTCCATATAAGTCCATATCCTCACCATAATTATCACTATCACTGACTTGGGCCGGCTGTGGTGGGTGGCGGGTGAAGAACTGGTAATGTTTTGATGACTGGGCGACCTTGTGCGCATCATGTTCGCGCAGCTTACACAACATGGCGGATGGCGGGAGGTTTGGATCCAAAAATGGCGCGGCTCGCCAGCCGCTCTCCGTGTAAAGGGGTACACGCACCGCGGAATGTGAGCATCCTGGGTTCCGGCAGGGCACCGCGTAAACGTGGAAACGCGGAATGTGGGACCGCGTAAAGTGAGGGTTAACTGTACTTGGAAAAATATTGAATAACACAACCTTCTTGATATTTACTCCAATGGAAACGATATCAGCCCTAGAACCGATTACTGTATTGGCGGACTAATCTACCAGCTGGTGAGCAAGCCAAAGCATGTCAAAACATTTTCGTAAGAATTTTGTTTACCAAATTTTTGTTCGTTAACCGAAATGAAGATTCTTATGGAAGGTAATCCGTTAACCGAGGGACCACTGTATTTGTTAACATTTTGGATTGTGAGAGACATTTATGAATATGTATGCTGCACATGTCGCCCTGCGGTCACGAGATGCACCCACCTCGGTGTAAACAAGTACCATACGAGCCTCACAGTCAGTTCACGTTGGTCAGTCGTGGAGTGCTCACCTATGGTCTATCACCCAAGCTTTTAATGCAGTGTTTGAGCCATTATGTCTGGTTCTATACTTAGAAACTTTTAGAAATTTTATTGGGGCAAATTACTGAAAAGTTGCGTTGTTTAGTGTGTTCTCTTGCGGTGTTCCTCACATTTCTTAAAACTTCATAATTTGTGAAGGCTAGAACCCCTCTTACTGTATTTTGAATTATGGGGTTTTACTATATAAACATAATCATCATTTACTGTATTGTGATAATTAATCATATGCGTAATGATAATCAAATGGAGTAATCGGCCCTAGTCTCGTATTTGTATGACCTCATGATTATGTACGCTAACTTTATCTTACTGTCAACAGAGCAGATGAATCGCTGCTTAAATTCAAAACTTAATCCTTTCTCTGTGAAGCCACTACTGTGTGATAACAAATCTCCGGTCGTTAGCTACTCTTGTAACATCAACAACCTCTCTAACTAACAAGTATGGCCTCCCAGTCACCCTTATGCCTCTTTTTAACCTTGACTTGAGAGGTGTTGGGAATATGTATCTTATCTCTATATTATCCCGGAGTCTGTCAGCAGTCTGGTGAGTGAAATAATCACGACTGTATTGTACTGTACTGTATAGCTGACATATCTCTCACTGCTGTATGTTTAGGCCTCTTCTGTCATAGTGAGGACAATAAACTTATACATTAGATACATTACCAACCAAATCAACAAGTCAGGGAATTCTAAAAGCAAAAAATAATACAGTGAATATTTTGAGTGAAAATTCTGTCCTTTAGATAAGAATTGAAGAGTTTGTCCTAAGGTTTGGGTTTGACAAGATGTGCAGTACAGTAACTAAACCTCGTATACTGTACTTTATGCTAGAGTCGTTAAGCCTCTCCTACACGTCTCTCTATATACCGTACTCTACTATATACAAATCTAATTCATCTCCTTAAAATATTACAGATTAATAAATGTTTTGAGTGATAAGATAAGACTTTATGATGAGAGTGTCTTGTCTGTGCACTTGAAGCTTGCAAGCATGATATAATGATCTGTTATGGTGCCTCCACACTACTGCATCACATTACTAAATGCTTCTTGTATGATCTCTCTCCTGCTACTCAGTGGGTGAACAGCAGGAGTACTGTGGGAGGGAAAGATGGGACATGGGGGAGAGAGATCATACAAGAAGCATTTAGTAATGTGATGCAGTAGTGTGGAGGCACCATAACAGAGATCATACTACCCATCTTCCTGTGTGTCCATACCATCACAGTAAACCCCTCACCATCCATTCCACCACTCCACAGTTTACTGCCTTCTCAGACATCCCCATGCACTTATTTTCTTTTTTCATTCAACTTCCATTTTGGCAAGTCTGCAGGCAGCCCTGGATAGCTCTGTACAGTAGCTTGAATTTTAGAGCATTGTGCCATAAAGTAAGAAGTATTATTGTGAGTTCCTTCTTTGTCTTCAGGTTTATACCCTTGTCCTTCACTTGGTTGTACTGTACAGTCCTGTCACCTCCCCTCCTGAACCATGAAATCTGAGATTCAGATTCGTAAATCCAAAGCCTTTATGGACAGAATAATTTCATCAGTGTCTACTACTTATGGTTCATGAGTCTGAGTCTCAGGGTTCGTGGTTCAGGAGGAGAAGCGACAGGACTGTACAGTAACCAGGGTTTACCCTAAGGTACTTGTTTTTTAGCATCTGTGTGTTATACATTATACACCATTTTACTAATTCCAGTACAGTAGCCAGTTTTAAGTGTGTGTGTGTGTGTGTGTGTGGGTTACCACAACCGCCTCAGGAGTTATCTAATCTGGTGTGGCGGAACTTAGTTCAGGGACAGTGACTCTCCCTGGGATGCTGCCTCCAACAAACTCATGATGATTGCTTTATTGTGTGTGCATGTGCCTGTACGTATGTGTGTCTGTTTAAATATATGTGTTTATGTGTAAGTGACCTGATAAGTGGCCACAAAGTGAAAATGTAGTGATGTGAGTGTTGGTACTCAAGATGGGGGGAGGGAGTGGCAAAAAATGTGATGTCATAGGAACAAAGTGGTTCACGCTTCAGTCCGGGTGTGCTCCGTCCTCTTGGTTTAAAAGATATTACTGTACTGACCTTTCATAATGTCCTCAAACAAACACAAAAGTGATAGTCATGACTTTAACAGGTTCATAGGAGATAAAAATCACAACTTTGAATTTTTTTTTAAACCAAAACTTCATGAAACAATTACTACTGTACATGTATTTTGACATTGATGAGTCACTGTTTGTTAACTTTGTGGCCAACCCGACTCTCACACCCTCTCTCACTACATCCTCACTTGCCCTATGACCTCCTCCTATAGGTCCCCAGCCGTTACCAACACCTCTTCCCTCCCAGATCAGATATCCCTCCTCCTAGTCACAGGCCTGGCATTTGACATTATTAGGGACCTGCCACTCTTTGCCATAAACAGATGAATTGTACCGGGAACTTTCCTCCCACACACTCATCATTCTCTCACTTTATGTAACTTGACAAAACCTATGACCCTTCAGGCTTTTACGCCCTTAATGTACGAGTCATAGAAGCAAGTATGAACTTTTCATACTTCCCTGTTGGGCGCTGTAAACGCTTCTGCGCTTCACCTTGCACAGGATGTAAGGGGGTGCCCAATAAACTAGCCCCCTCGGGGGCAAATCTAAAATCTGATTGATGAGTCAATTGTGTAAAAAAAAATACAAAAGGTGAAGGTGCAGTACAGTACAGTCACCCACAAAACATTCTCCTCTGTTCAGACTTGTGAGCCCAAAGCAGTAGACACTGATGTATTATTCTCTCCATAAATGCTTCAAATTGACTCGTCTGAATCTGGGGGTTGATGGTTCAGAAGGAGAGGTGAGAGGTCTTGTGTATACCATGAGGACCAATGGGGCAGGAAACAAAGGTGGTTCAAATACCCTGTGAACCTTACCTAGAAAACTCTCTCTCTCTGTGGATCAAGAGTATGACACCAAGAAAAGTGCGAGGGTGACTGTGAGTAACAACGTGATCTATGGTAGGTTGGGGCCCACATATACTACAGGTATATCTTAGCAACATCAAACAGTGGAGTTAGTACAGTACTGCTTGAGCAACCACCAGCTTCCACGGCAGTGATGGCTGGTCTGATGTCTTACAAACCAAACAATGATCCAGTATATGTACTGTACTGTACTGTACTGTACTGTACTGTACTGTACTGTAGGTAAAACATGAGACCTGGGGTGAGTCAGCATCAGCAGACCAGTTGATGAAGAACAGCATTGCTAAGGGGGAGTGTTGAGGCCATTGGGGACAGTTCTATTACTCAGGGTTTTTATAATACCTTCACTGTGTATTGTACTGTATAGCATTTCTGTACAGTATAATTAATGGTTTGTTAAGTAGTATACTGTATAGCATACACCCTCTACAGTATTATTTTTAACCTTGAGTTGTATATGATAGGATTTAATGTATTTCTCTCAGAGGTCACTTCCCCTGACCCTCTAATTACAATTAGACTCAGCCCTTACTATTGGACAGTTGTAAAACATGACCCCTGTGGTTGGTGAGGGACTATTGCACCTCACTCTCGTCCCTCTGCAGTGTATCTGTCTCTCCTTCAGGCCACAGTACAGAACTTCACATAATCCCTAATATACTTTAAATATAGAACCTCCTCCACTGTCTCATTCTTCATCGTGATTTTTTATATTGATCTGCTAGATTTGTCTATTTTATATAGTTTACATTATGTCAAACTCCTAGAAAATATTACCTCTCTTCCTTTATCACACTCCTTGTCTCAGTTATTCACTTTCTTTTGCAATTTCTGTATCATCATCATCATTTTTATGGCTACTTTTCCACACCAGAGGGCATGATATTCCAGTTGACAATAGACATTTAAAGTAAGTGTTGCAGGTGGATGCCCTTCCTACCACCAATCCCATGTATACAGAGTGTGAACTGGGCATTGTATACAGGACTACTGAGCACCCTTTTAGCTAGCAAGGCCAGGACACTACTCCGAGACACATAGAATTACCCGCCAACCCCTGAGAATTTTAATTTTTTTTTAAACTAATGCGTGGCCTGAGGACCTATGGCCACATCCCGACCTTCTCACTTCAATTATAGTCTACCTTAGTCACCCTTGTCATCATTCCCCTCACTGCTGTGTCCAAAAGTATATTGACTAACCACAGGGACATTCCATCACCCAGGTATTCCTCCCTTTCTCTCACACGTCCTGTACCATTACTGTATCAGGCAGTTTTCCCCCTCCTCCATAAATTTTCTTCACTTACCACTGTGCCTCTTGATTCATCCTATATAGCTATATCTTATACCTAGTGTAACCTAAACCCATAAATGGTCTTACATACAGTTTTGTCCATACAACCTCAGAATCCTCCCTGTACCTCCTCAACTTCCCCACATTATTACTATATACTCTTGGTCAAGCAGGTTTTCTCATCTTTCACAGAACAGTTCTTGGCCTATTACGTGGGACTCATCCCCAGTCAATACTACAAAGTTTTCGGAGACCGCGACCAACAAGGTTTCATGTACCTCACCCTCAAGTCCTGTGGATTAATTTTAGTAATTTCATCGGTAAGTTATTTGTTTATACAGTACTCGTAGAGCTGTGTCTGAGCGAGGTCTCTTGGTACAGTATGCTTATGAGTTATGACTTATGAACTTGGCCTCATTTAATGTTTACCCAAGAGGTTGAGACCATTTACAGGTACAGTACAGTGAATCATTTCTCCTAAACTGACATTTTAAGTTCACTCACTATAAAGAAAAAATAAATAAATTGAAGTCTGATTTCTTCTCCTTGATTAATAGGACAGTTTGCTTGAGGTATGTAACACGGTACTGTGTCTCGTGTTGACCTTAAACTATATAACACAAATAAGCAGAACGATGTACTATAGTCTACTGTATGGAAGAGCTGGAACAAATGCTAATTACTGTAGTGATAAACTTCTGTTAGCCATAAAAAAATTATTCTTGATATGGTGTACAACATTATTACTGTACAGTACTGAATAATTTATGTTTAATGGTACAGTACAGTACATTATAGCCAGGAGTTCAATATGTTACAGTACAGCACCACAGTACAGTGCAACAGTTAACCTTTAATGGCTTATTCAATTTGATTTGTATGTTCCGTCAACCTCGGCAGACCCTGTGTGTTAGTAATATAACCAATAATGACTAAACATAAGATATATCCTTGTAATCTCATGATATACAGTATTTCAGGTAATCAGCACCAAGAAGTACATAGACAGTATGTTGTATATAACCTGGCGGCAACTGTTGTGTCGAGCGCTCCACCGTCTCTACTTCTCAGGGATCAATTACTACACGCTAAATATATTAGATAAAACCATTGATAACCCGTGAGTAACACCGTTGGTGACCTGTTAATAGTCAGTGAGTGCTGTTTACCTTGTTAGTAGTTCGTGTGTGTGTCAGTGTATGTGTGTAGGTGTCAGTATGTGTGTGTGCATGTATGTGTCAGTGTGTGTATGACTACCCAGCAGGTCCCTCATCATCCAGAGCTGACCCTCCTCAGCTATCCTCCATCCCTGGATGAGGTAGCTATCAAACAAATGAAAAATAACAAAGCCTCAGGGCCTGATGGAACCCCAGCCGAGGTGTATAAAGCAGGAGGACCTCTGCTTACCAGTAGTCTCCACTCTCTCCAGGAGATTATATGGGAAAAGGAGGAAATCCCCCAAGGTCTTAAAGACGCCTCCATAGTTAATATTTATAAGAACAAGGGAGACCGGTCAGACTGTGGCAACTACCACAGAATCTCGCTGCTGTCCATAGCTGGCAAGATTATCGCACGAGTCCTCCTAAACAGACTTCTTCCTGAGGCGGAAAACTTCCTCCTAGAATTTCAATGTGGCTTTAGACCATCATGTGGCACCACTGACATGATCTTTGCTGTCCAACAGATACAGGAAAAGTGCAGAGAACAGCGTCGTAACCTGCACACGGCCTTCATCGACCTAACCAAGGCCTTCGACTCGATCAACAGGGAAGCCTTCTGGCGGACCCTCAGCCATTTTGGCTACCCTCTAAAATGCATCGCCATTGTGAGACAATGCCATGATGGCATGAACAGCAGTGTCCTGCGCAACGGCACCCAGTCTGAGTTCTTCCCCATCCAAACGGGGGTTAAACAAGGGTGTGTACTGGCACCAACTCTCTTTTCCATTTTCTTGGCTGCCTTCCTTATTCGTGCCAGATCTTTTGAACATAAGACGACTTCAGGCAGGAACAAAGGTGTCGTCAAAATCTATTACAGAACTTCAGTATGCAGACAACCTCACCCTTGTCGCTTACACTGAACACCTACACTGATGTGTATGCATACTTTGGCCTTGAGGTAAATGTACATAAGACTAAGATTCTCTTTCAACCTGCCCCTGGTTCAGCCACACCTCCACCATCCATCCAGCTTTACTGTACTACCCTCTTTAATGTTACCCAGTTTCAGTATCTCGGCTCCCACCTGTCCACCACCCCGGATATCGATGAAGAGATTCAACTTCGGATTAGATGTGCATCTCAAGCCTTTGGCAGACTCCGTACCCGTGTCATCAGCTGTAGGGAGCTGAAATTATCTACAAAGTTGCACGTATATCGAGCAGTGGTCCTCCCCACTCTGCTGTATGGCACCGAGACATGGGTCAGATACACTTCAAGGCACTTGAAAACTTTCACCAACGTAGTCTACGTTCCATCCTACGAGTTCACTGGGAAGACAAAAGAACAAATGCCAGTATTCTTGCTGACACCAACTGTAGAGGCATCAAGGCTACCATTATCCATGAACAACTATGTTGGATTGGCCATGTTACCCACATGGGCGACAGTAGACTGCCAAAGCAGCTACTTTACAGTCACCTAACAAATAGTAAACGTAACACTGGCGGGTAACTGAAAAGGTATAAGGATAGTCTTAAGACAAACCTGAAAAAGTGCCAAATGACTCCCTCACTTGGGAGACAATTACAACACACCATAACACTTGAAGGAGCACCACATGAGAAGGTGTTAATACTTTCCAGTTAGCCCGACTGCAAACCGGGGCAGACAAGCGCCAGTGCCGGAAAGACGCTGCTTCTGCCTGTCTTGTACTAGATGTAGCCCCCCCAGACATGCCATCTATTGACAGCCCTGTTGATTCCGTGTCGGCCTCTTTAGTCACCTCAAAACTCACCAATGAAGGTGACACCCTTAATAACTCGTATCATTGTATCATAGCTGGATGATCGCCATACTCGATTCTGAGTGGCAGCATAGTAGTGTGTGTGTGTGCATGTATGTGTCAGCATATGTGTCTGTGTACATGAATGCATTAGTTTGTGTCAGTGTGTGTGAACAGTATACTACAGTATACTATAGCCCCCAGCAGTATAAGAGTGCCTTCCATAGATGCATAATTTGCCTCCATGCTTGAATGATAAATTCACTACAGTACATTACAATGCTTTACAGTGACCAGAGGATGACCCAGGATGTGGACAAGCTGTGCCTCACTCTGGCCACAATAACCACAAAGGTCATCATATCACCATTCCAGATTGGCTACTACACCTACAGAGTATTTGTGGGGTGAGTCTTCATACACCAGGCTGGAGTGACTTCTCTTTAATCACCACCACAACTTATAAGTTTATTGGTAGTTCTGGCAGTTAATATGTTGTTCTTTACGGACCTTCATTGTCCAGTGTTGGTACAGGAAGAAAGTGGAGTACCTGGACAAAACCTGCCAATCTTGGTAGGATACACATTGGATGACACCCTTCTAACCCAGGCTAAGGATTGAACTTGGGACACAGTTATGAGAGACACGCACTGTACCCCCCAACACACCCTCAAGGTTGAGTCTCACAGAAATATAGACCAAGTTAGGACATTCAATGATACACTCGCTCCATAAAGTATCTTTACGAGTTTGTGTGAGACTTTATGACACCGAACGAAGGCTTTTGACAACCCTACCGAGACAACAGGAGTCTCGGTGTTCTTTATTCAATTCATCGGACCCCTCCATAAATACACCTTTTTGGAGCGAGTGTACAATTAAACAAACACAGAAAGTTAGTGTACGTTGAGTCATTCCTTGTAAGTAAATCCAACTTCTCATTCTTTTCATAAAGGAGAATCTATACCCCAGACTAGTGCCCACTGCAACTCCCTGCCACAGTGTCATTTTCCCACATCACTTAACCTTTACCTGTTTAAAGTATCGGGGTACAGATATCTTCTTCAGCCTTGGCTCTGAGACTCATTAGTGAATAGAGTTATAGTGACACCTACAAGAGCTCTCCGTCTGCTTATGTTAGGGTAGGGTAAGTTAAGTTTGCTAATGGTAGATTATTTTAAGTTAGGGTAGGGTAAGTTACTGCCTTAATAACTAAACCAGTGTGTAGGTAGATACGTTGAGTGTGAGACAGATAAAAGGTTAAACTGTTGTATTTATAAGTTTTATTGAGTTTTTCTTTTTTTTTAGCCATCATTAAAGTGATAGTGTTGTGTTCATGTTTATTAATCTTGATTGTTTTGGTGGGCAGGACAGGATGGCTGGGGACTCTGAGTATATATATTCTCTTCCTCCTGGGCACAGTGGTCAACAAGCTGGTCATGTCACCCATCGTTAAATTTGTCATCAAGCAAGAGGAGTGTGAGGGAAATTTCAGGTAACTGTTAATTGTTTCTTTATTTATTTTTTTTTTCAATTATAATTTTCACCATTTATCAATTTACTAGTAGTTTGGTTGGTCTATCCAGTGTTATTACAGGAGGAAATCTGTGGTGTTTGGTAGTGAGGGTCACACTGGATAACACCCTTCTCCGGGCCAAGGCTCGAACCCTTGATGTCTTGGTGAGAGATACACACATTACTGCTGCACACAGTAAGGACTTTATTGTGAGAACTATATTATACCTGTAGTCCTATAGTGACTTGTCACTTTTTATATCCATACATACAAGTTTTCACTCTGTTGCTGTACACAGATTACCAGTAGTTCAGTACTGTGCAGTGACACCTCCATATAACAAGACTTCATATAATCCATTGTGTGGGGAGTTAAACCTCAAACTGACCCTTGATAAAATGGACTTTTATCTCTATATAGTTTGTTAGATGGAGGTTTGAGTGTAGTACTGTGTAAGGTTCAAGTGCAAGAGCATTACACCACTGCATGATGGTGGGTGAGTCAAGTGTTCCTCTTGTGAGTAACAGTAATTCATCTGTTAACACATACATGCTTCGACAATTGCCACTACCCACACTACCTAACCTAACTTAAACTACAATAAATGGTACTGTAGCGTAGTGTATGTGGCCAGTTGTCTAATTTATCTTTGTTGTGTCAACTTTCTCTTTGTTAGGCTCACATACATATGTACAGTCCTTTCAAGATTCTTCGAACACTGCTGGCGACAACTAGCAACTCAAGGCCGTTTGTTTATTATTGAACGTAGTATAACATAATACAAAACAACAAAGCCCAACCATTAATTAAGCAACGGGGAACTAAGTAACCAATCACCGATCTCTTTTACATTTATTCGTAATTTATACTACAGTGATTTTATTGCATATATATATATATATATATATATATATATATATATATATATATATATATATATATATATATATATATATATATATATATATATATATATATATATATATATATATATATATATATATATATATATATATATATATATATATATATATATATATATATATATATATATATATATATATATATATATATATATATATATATATATATATATATATATATATATATATATATATATATATATATATATATATATATATATATATATATATATATATATATATATATATATATATATATATATATATATATATATATATATATATATATATATATATATATATATATATATATATATATATATATATATGCTATATATTAGGGTGGTCCCAAAATTTTTTTTGGTTTAAATTTCAACGACCACCCTGCCTAAGTGTGTGTATACTATTAAAACAATGATCTGTCATTTTTTTTAAAAATTTGGATAAAATTTAGAGGTGCCACAAAGACTATCTAGTTTTTATATTGAACAAGTACCGGTAAATGTGTAAATCGTATACAATACATAGTCAATATCAATACAGTTAGTTGTTAATAGTTGTAATACAGCAAAATCAATGAAATTTAGCAACACAGGTCATTCTTCTTGAGTGCCTCTATTACAGTCCTTTTTAGAGAGTTTGGAAAGTTCTTTCGATGATCACTGACCACCTGGAGTAGAAATTGGCGTTGTTCCTCATCCTTTGTTATTACATGGATGTAATCTTGGATGAGTGCCACACCTCTCTCAGCCACATCGTTAACCACTTTCATTGTCTTGAGCTTCTTTTGTGCTTTGCAATAACCTGCATTAGTTTGCCACAAAGATGGGGACAACTGTAGAAAGTCAGTTGGCAGATTGAGCATGTCAAAAAATTTACTTGTTGCAGAAGACACAAAATCTTCAAGGTGAATGTCATTCACGTCTTGAGGCTTAACCACTGCCTTCATGCGGTTACCATTTTGAGCCTTTTTTAGACTGTCCACCATCCTCTGCTTTGTTTCACCACCAACATTCATATCAAAGAAGGCAAAGCCAACAACTTCTTCATTGAGGTACCACAGATGATTGATAAATTTGCGGCAAGCCTCTTCTGAAACCTCCTTGTCAACTTTTGTGTAGTCAGAAATCTTCTTCAGGAAGAGCAGGTCATTTGCTGGAGCTTGAACTGGCAAAGTAGCCAGGAACCATGCTTTAAAGTATACAAGGACAGCAAATCGAACCACCCTACCGAGTCCTTTGACTTCTCGGGCTGTCAACTTGAATTGTGACCGGAACATCCATATTTTGAAGGAATACAACAGCTTTGCCATCCACTAATGCCTTCTCTTCTTCCTTCTCCTCCACCCCCATTCTAAATCCCATCATCATCATCATCATCCAGGAGCCTTCTACATACACACCTCAAAGTAAGTGAACTTTTCTACCATTTTTGTTGAATTTAGGAAATTTTCGGTGAGCTGGAACCAATTACCCAAAAACCCATTGAAACAATGGTTTCGGTTAACAAACTTTTCGGTTAACGAACGACGTTCTGGAACGGATTGAGTTCGTTAACGGAGGGGTCACTGTAATGTATTGGCGGACTGATACTAAAGCTGGTTGCCCGGTCAGTGCAAGCGAAAACATGTTGAGGTCGGTTCGTAAGAACTTCGTTAACCGAATTGAAGATCCTTATGGAAGGCAGTGCGTTAATCGAAATTACGTTAACCGAGGTGTTCGTTAAACGAGGGGTCACTGTATATATATACAGTATAGTCTGGATTTACACGGTGCCTGCCAGAATGAAATGTTTTAATTACGCGGTAAATTTCATCATTTACGCGGCGAGCGGCTGGAGAGGTCCAGACGCTCCGCGCCATCTTTTAATCACACGGTCCATTCTTGACCATACGCGGGAAGCGGCGCGGTGAGTGGTGCGCATAAGGTCGCTCTTACTTTATCTCTGACGTCATATGACATATCGGACTGTGATTGGGCCACGCATCCTTATCACCCACGCATTCCCTCCACCGCTCGCTGTGATTGGTCTAATGTAACATGACGTGCCCTGCCATCAGAAGTCGCTGACCTAGCCGGGCCAGTCTCATTGTTCTCAGTTCGCATATACAGTTCCCTCTTGTGCCCGCTATTCCCCTCACAATGGCTTCCGCTGGACCCCCACCACCCCAAAAAACCCTTGAATTACCTGGACCAAGCCATGATTATGTGAAGGAAATCATCGAGTTGGGGGAGAAAATTAAGCTCATCCTTGACAACGACCCAGACAAGCATCAGTATGAAGAGTCTAATAACCATCTGATGAAAGTTATGGAGCCGTTTGTCCAGATCTATCTCGACAACATCAATGCTAGTCGTCAACGTAGTATTAAGGACTTCTTCGCCCGCAACCCACCACAACCACAGCCAGCCCAAGTCAGTGATAGTGACAGTGAGGATATGGACTTTGAGGGGTTTGTCTGGGAGGCCCTGCAAACCTCTGCGAGTAGTGAAAGTGATTCACCGGAGGGCAACTAATCTGCCCTCTGCCTCGGAACCAGCCACCATCCACGTGTGCCGACCCATCTCTTCTACTTACGTAAGTGTTAAACACCTTTAGATTTGTAGTTTTTTATTTAGATATTATGTGTGAAGCAATACCATCATGAAATTAAGATGTTATTTTTACTACAAGGTACGTATTGTGTAGGAAAAAGTGGAGTTTGGGAGTCGGCCCAGTCTCTATTTCAATTAATCCCATATGCTCTGTTATTTCGTTTACGCGTTTCTCGTCTCACGCGGACCTCCACGGGTTCAATTGACCGCATAAATCCAGACTATACTATATATGTATATATATATATATATATATATATATATATATATATATATATATATATATATATATATATATATATATATATATATATATATATATATATATATATATATATATATATATATAAAACACCATTCTGCTTGGTAGAGGAGTTGCTGTGGAGGAGCTTCTTTAGAGGAGGTCTTCTCTGCTTAAGAGCTTGGTGTTGTCTGCCCTCATGGCGAGGCAGGGGGGGGGGTATTTATATGATTCTGCCGGATCAAGAATCGAGGTGCAAGGATGAGAAACGCTGTTGAGTGGCTGAGGTGAAGGTGGCAACTGGCCAATCACCGCACAGTTGTAGGGGAGAGTATCCACTACAGTACTTCTCATGTTTTACTTAATACAGTTTGAGTATTGTTACACACACTCAGGGAGGGAATTATTTCGAGCACTTTCAGGCCACTTAATACAAAATTACTGAGTTCATGTGACACCGACAGATTTAACTGACTCTCCAGATTTTGCCAAGTCCTCACTTAACCAATAGACCTTGACCTGGAGCCAGCTTAAGGATGGCGTCTCTGTCTAGGAAATTTAGACGATTCTCAATTCCATCTCTCTCTCTCGTAAACGTTGGCTTCTGAGGCGTACATAAAGACTTCTCCTCTCACTAACTCCTCCCTGTAGCTTCTTCCAAACACCTCTGCTGCTGACTTAGGTTGGTTCTGTGATGCCATAACAGATCCTGCCTGTAGGTGGGTGTGGTCTTCTCACACTTACAGGCTCCCACGAGTCTTAAGCCCTTATACAGTGACCCCTCGTTTAACGAACGCCTCGGTGTTAACGAAATTTCGGTTAACGAACTGCCTTCCATAAGGATCTTCAATTCGGTTAACGAACAAAAATTCGGTTAACGAATTTCTTACGAACCGACCTCAACATGTTTACGCTTGCACTGGCCGGGCAACCAGCTTTAGTATCAGTCCGCCAATACATTAATCAGTTCTAGGGCTTAAATTCCTAACTATTTTAGTAAATATCAAGAAGTTTATACTATTCAATAATTTTAAAAGTTTAATATTCAATTTTTTAGTCATTTTAACAATTATTGAACATAAATGAAGGTAAAGTGACTAGTTTAAAGCGCAGCATCCAGCCTCTTAACACAGCAAACAGGCGTTAGTCTCTCTCTGTTTTCACTGGAGGTAACATCTTGCTTGAGACTCTCTTCAACTAAACGCTTTTTTCTGTGTTTCCAAGCAAATTATTGGTAATTTTGAAATATATTTTACATATTGACAATATATAATGCAGTGCAGTGTTGATTTAAAGAAAATAATCTTGAAATACACCAAGAGAACTAAAATTTTATGGGTGAAATGGTGCCATGGGGTGACTTCTCTTCCACCCCAATGCCTTCTCTTCTTCCTTCTCCTCCACCCCCATTGTAATTCCCCATCATCATCATCATCCAGGAGCCTTCTACATACACACTAAGTAAGTGAACTTTTCTACCATTTTTGTTGAATTTAGGAAATTTTCGGTGAGCTGGAACCAATTACCCAAAACCCATTGAAACAATGGTTTCGGTTAATTTTCGGTTAACGAACGACCTTCTGGAACGGATTGAGTTCGTTAACCGAGGGGTCACTGTACTGTATACTTTACATTGGTACAAGTGTGGCGTTGATGGGGCCGTTTGAGTCCGGTCCTGTGCCCGGCTTGTGACCGGTACAGTAACATTATTATCCTCTCAATATTCACCTTTCTGCACCTTCTGGTTTTGTATGTGTGTGAAAGCATTTTAGTATTGTGTTGAGTGTGGAGTGATGTAGAACAGTGTGGCACTTTTCTCAATTTTATTATTATTTTTTGTTGCTATTTATGATGTAAAGCAGATCCCTTAGGAGTGATTCATTCTCAGTTGAAAATATGATCTGGATCAGATGTTAATGTTTTGTTTCATTGTCTCCTCTCTTACAGTGTATCTCCTCCTCCCACAGGTTTAAACACATGCAGGTGCGGGTGGACTCGGAGTCTGTGGCGTTCCATGGTTCAGGGTCCATAGAGTCCTGTAAGACCAACAGCTCACTTGATGGACTTATTCGAGCTCAACAGCGGCTCTTTACTAGACAAGTATGATGACATAAGTGTTTTTATTTTTTGATACATTACAGTACAGTGGTCCCTCGGTTAACGAATGGTTCGGTTAATGAATTACCTTCCATAAGAATTTTCAATTCAGTTAACGAACAAAATTTTGATAAACGAAATCCTTACAAAAATCACATTTCGTTGGGAGCATCAGCTGATGGGCTAGTCTGCCAATTTAGTAATCTGTTCTATGTTTACATTCGTTTCCAATGGAGTAAATATCAAGAAAATTGTGCTCTTTAATATTTGTACATTTTTTTATATTAAAATTATTGGTCATTCTAAAATTTAGCCATCCAAGCTCTGTCTACATAAAGTTTTTCAACTATTATTTTTGGCTCGATATATGTAACTTTATTCATTTATTGAAACTAATTTACATGCACACACTGACCTTAGGGCAAAGCTGAACTGTACATGTAATCAGAATAATGTACAGAGTAATTACTCAAATTTTTGTCTAGTGCAAACTATTGCATGTTTATATTCAAATTAATCACTATCTTATAAGAATTCCAGCAATGTAAACTATCTTCTCCCCGGCCACTTCTGTGACATTTTATAAGCAAAAAACAAAAACTCAATCTAAAGGACATAAATAAACAAATAAATACTTCACCAGACCTTCAGTACCAACTGTCAAACATGTCACTGTCACCCCCCCCCCCCTCCCCCCCCTACCAGCCAGAGTTTGGTAGTTATACAGGAAGCTTTAAGTTTTTATCTTATATAATATCACAGACTAAAGTTAGGAGAATATAATTTGCATTGCTGGAATCCTTGCAAGACAGCGAATAATTTGAATATAAACGTCATATATTTTGCACAAGAGATAAAATTAATCACCTGTATCACAGTACAGTAGTGATTTAAGAGTTCTAGTGTATATGTACGATATACACTTTATGCATTTTGGGCTTTACTTTGTATATACTTTTCTGTGAGCTGGAACCAATTACCCAATATCCCATTGAAATAATGGATTCGGTTAATGAAATTTTCGGTTAACGAACGACTCTGTGGAACGAATTGTGTTCGTTAACCGAGGGACCAACTGTACTGCCTACCAGTGTGACCATCTTCATTATTTTAATTTTTATTATAACTTTTCATCATTGAAACAGTTAACATTATTTAACTGATTTGATATCGAGAACAACATTCAAAATTATAATGCAAATGTTGAGTGTTGCTGCAGGATGCCTGGTGGCACCTTACCACCAGGTAACCTTGGCTACCCTGTGTCAGTGTGCACATGACCGTTTCATGTCTAATTTTTTCCTAAATATTTTTATCAGTTACCTTATGAGCTGACCATAAAAATAATTGTTTATACAGCACATGTGAGGTACTGTATATTTATGCATGTAAAATTTATGCAAACTACAGAAGTTACTGTACTGTACCTGCATATTTTACCATAGCCCAGCCTTAAACAGTATTGTACCATATACTGTACCTGGTAACAGAAAGAGGTTGAGGGGGACGTATGTACAGTACAGTGATGGTGCTGTTTGTCTTGTGGGCTCAAAGACCAAACACTAACCAACACATTGTGGCTGTTTTCAAAAGAACCAGAAAACAAAATTTTGCATCTTGGGTTTTACCCAACAGATACAACCTAACCTAACCTAGTTTTCGGTCTTTGAGCCCAACATATATACAGATAGCTTGTACACAGTGACTAAGGCCCTGTTTAACATATTACAACTCAAAACAGTTCCTAAACGTCATCATTATTGGTATAAGTTGGGGATCAGCCATTCCTAGATGACATTAATGCACTGGGTCCCAACCTTTTCACTTGACGTCTCCTTTTGCATTTTACCAAACCTTCGTATCCCCTGAAAACTTGTCCTTAGCTTGAATAACCATAACGCAAAATTAGGTAACTCGGGGGATAACTGTAGTGTATTATGTATAGCTCCTCCCCGACTTACGACCTACTCGACTTACGACCACTCGGACATACGACCGCTTCGGTCGTATCAAAATTTTGTCAAATTACGTATTTTCGAGTCCCAACGTCAGTGATTGCGCTGTGAACTGACAAAATTTTCGTTTGTAATTGACTTTAAAATGGCTGGCAAGCTTAAAAGTGAGAGTTTTGTGGTGCTGAGAAGAAAAAGAGACACCCATTTTAGATTTTCTATGTATTATTTAAGCATTTTCGACTTAAGACCATTTCGACTTACGACCTGGATTTGGGTCCCTAACCCAGTCGTAAGTCGGGGAGGAGCTGTACTGTTAAATCTTGTGGTGATAAAGTGTTGTGTCTTATATAATGACACAGATGGTACGATAAAACAACCTGTCTCTCCACCATTGGTTCTTGTCATCTCTCTATACAGTAAAACCTCGATTAACCGACCACATATGGGGGGAAGGGGCCGACCGATAATCCGAAAGGTCGGTTAATAGTACATAAAGTCTACGGAAATAAAACATACATTTTCAAAGTACCTTTCCCTAACCTACCTTATTTAATTCCCTCTATTCATTTTTGTTCATTTGCCATTCATGTTTCAATAGAATTTGCTTTAAAACATTAACCACTTTAGTAAATAAATATGAACCAGCACAGAAACCGTGAATAAAAAATGGAAAAGTCAAAGAACATATGTCATCACAAAAATTGTGACCAAGTCCCAGGTTGCTGATCTGACTTTCTGCCTCAATTACACACAATTGCAGGGTCTCAATTGTTTCTCTTACTATTGACAACACAACATACATATATTGTTTCTCATTCTTGATTTTTTTAATTTTTACATTTATTTATGGTTCTTTATTACTATTATTATTATCATTATCATTATCATTGTTAATATTATTACATTATCGCCCCCCAGGCCCCGTTGTGGGTCAGTGACCTGTGCCCGGGTGGGCTAATCCCTGTAAAAAAAAAAATTGGGAGTTCGGGATTGACGGTTAATTTAGAGTCGGTTAATCGAGGTTTTACTGTATATATTTTTAGTTATGTATTCACCGCCATTTAGAATTTTTGTCCCTGTTTTTTTATTTTATTTGTTATTTTTTTCAGATTGTGTTAAACTTGACTCGGTACATCTTCGACTACTTGGGGTCGATAATATCATATCTTGCCATCGCCATCCCAATATTTGGAGGGAAATTTCCCGATGATGCAGATATATCCTCCATAGTTAGTGCTGTAAGTAGCAGGACATTACTGCATGTTTTAGCACCACATTACAGGCAACTTAATATTCTTTTTCAATAAATGTTTTGCTAATGGGAATAATGACCATAAACTCCCACCCTCTCACTCATCAGAAAACTAATTTATGAGTTGTCTGGTTGAGCACTTAATGTAATAATCAAACATCATTACCAAGTAGTAATTATTGTACAATATGGTAGAACTTAATATGTGAGGTATTATACTGTACCATCCTTACCACTAAGATTTACAGAGAGGTAATTACATTGTTGTACTGTAATTATACAGTACAGTACTTTATATAATTATACATTACAGTACATTATATGAGGATCTCCACATCAGAAGGGGGTGAAGCACCAAATTCCAAAAGCTGAGAAAAACGCATTTAAAGTTTTTCGAAGTTCAAACAGCCAGAACTTTGTTGTTTTTTTAAGCTAGAGGGTTTTTTTTTTTTATCGTGCAGCTCAATCCCTCTCTTAGCGAACTGTGGAAACTGGAAGTTAGTTCTGTGAATAGTTATTATTTTATCAAGAGTTGAATGAGAATAACTACCTGTGATGTACAGTTGTTTGAGCTTGAAACCAACAATAATCGCGTTTTTCTGCTAAACTTTCTTATTATTGTTGGCTAATACTGAAAGACAAGTTAATAATCACCATAAACGACACTTGTCTTACACCCCCCCATAAACCTCCCATTAACCCAACAAGAATAAATAATAATAAAAACTCATTTGCTTATCAGAATTTATCTTTTGGTCCCTATTATTAGCCAAAGATTTACAATGTTGTTAAGTAGAATAATAATAAGGAAACACCACTACACTCATCCCCCCCACCATTAACCCCCCCTCCCCCCCCCACGTAATTAACTTACGAATACAAAGGCGGAGAAAGTTTGCATAATCTTTGGTAAAACAGTATTATGATAGTAGTATTACAATCTTACTTTGTTTAGTTCCTTCGTTTTATTAACCCTGAAGACCGTAGCAACTTGAAGTTAAGTAAACCCTGAGGAGTGCGTATAACTTTAACGGCCTCGTCATAATCAATCAGGTACTGATCAAAGTCTTTCTCTGCCCTCTCTAAAAATCGCCACACAGATTCTTCATCAACTAAATCATTGATTATTGATGCCGGCAACAGTTCAGCTTCATTATAAGACTGAGGTATGGGCTCACTTTCACTAGCATTCGTTGGGTCAGGCTTACTTTCACTAGCATTCGTTGGGTCAGGCTCACTTTCACTATCATTCGTTGGGTCAGGCTCACTTTCACTATCATTTGTTGGGTCAGGCTCACTTTCACTATCATTCGTTGGGTCAGGCTCACTTTCACTATCATTTGTTGGGTCAGGCTCACTTTCACTATCATTCGTTGGGTCAGGCTCACTTTCACTATCATTCGTTGGGTCAGGCTCACTTTCACTATCATTGTTGGGTCAGGCTCACTTTCACTATCATTCGTTGGTCAGGCTCACTTTCACTAGCATTGTTTGGTCAGGCTCACTTTTCATTCGTCTCACTTTCACTAGCATTCGTTGGGTTCACTTTCCTAGCTTCACTTTCACTAGCATTCGTTGGGTCAGGCTCACTTTCACTATCATTCGTTGGGTCAGGCTCACTTTCACTAGCATTCGTTGGGTCAGGCTCACTTTCACTAGCATTCGTTGGGTCAGGCTCACTTTCACTATCATTCGTTGGGTCAGGCTCACTTTCACTATCATTCGTTGGGTCAGGCTCACTTTCACTAGCATTCGTTGGGTCAGGCTCACTTTCACTAGCATTCGTTGGGTCAGGCTCACTTTCACTATCATTCGTTGGGTCAGGCTCACTTTCACTATCATTCGTTGGGTCAGGCTCACTTTTCACTAGCATTCGTTGGGTCAGGCTCACTTTCACTTTCATAGCATTCGTTGGGTCAGGCTCACTTTCACTATCATTCGTTGGGTCAGGCTCACTTTCACTAGCATTCGTTGGGTCAGGCTCACTTTCACTAGCATTCGTTGGGTCAGGCTCACTTTCACTATCATTCGTTGGGTCAGGCTCACTTTCACTATCATTCGTTGGGTCAGGCTCACTTTCACTATCATTCGTTGGGTCAGGCTCACTTTCACTAGCATTCGTTGGGTCAGGCTCACTTTCACTAGCATTCGTTGGGTCAGGCTCACTTTCATTCGTTGGGTCAGGCTCACTTTCATTCGTTGGGTCAGGCTCACTTTTAGCGTTGGGTCAGGCTCACTTTCACACTTTCACTAGCATTCGTTGGGTCAGGCTCACTTTCACTAGCATTCGTTGGGTCAGGCTCACTTTCACACTTTCACCATCATTCGTTGGGTCAGGCTCACTTTCACTATCATTCGTTGGGTCAGGCTCACTTTCATCACCATCAAGGTCAGTGCATGTCTCGTCACTGTCCACTTGTACCTCCTCACAGTCTGTATGTTCTGGTTGTGATACATTAGTGTCACTGTTTGTGTTACCATTTTCATCTTCACTTTCATCGTCGTTATTGCTGTCAGTGCACGTCACGTAACTGGAACACATTCTGCCAAAAGGTCTTGTGATGTATATCAGTCACTTTTTGTATTATCAGTAGACTCAGTTTCATCTATTTCAAGCTCACTTTCATCATCATTATCATCGTCATTGCGTGCCACATTGTCTTTTAACTCGTCATGGTCGGCAAAAAGATCTTCGGATGCTTTGTAGCGCGCTAAAAGGTTATTCTGTACGTTTAAAGTATTATTGTCATTATGATAATCACTTTCATCATCTGTGAGTCACTTTCATTGTCAACAGGTAAGTCATCATAGTCTCTAAAAAGGTCTTCCAGTGGTTCATAATGTGATGTATATTGTTTTTTTCTGCAATCACGGTGTTCCTGTCAATAAGAGACTCACTTTCATCCTGTTGTGGCTCATCAATATCATCATCACTGTCGCATTGAGTTTGTACAAGCGGATGTCTCACCAACATTCTCATAACCGGTCACCTGCACCATCACCAGTATCACTTGTATCACCATAATCAACACTAAATTCACCACCAAAATCACTATCAACAAGCATTACTGGGGTGTCCACGTGAGCACTGGCATCAAACACACGCTCAGGAATAATGGGCTCCTGAACCCACACCAGAAGGCCTGGCCTCACTCCAGTCTTGCTCTAATATCGGCCAGATATTGCACGGCACTTCTCACACCCGTGGAACACGAATTACGTCAATGTTACGCCCAAAAGTTATCAAAAATAGTAGTAGAACAAATACTGAACTTCCTGATACTAAAATATGCACCAAAACTAAGGAGGGGGCAGCATCTGGGTGTGCGGATTGGCCGAGGAGCTGTGACGTAGCAAGGGGAAATCCATTGTGATTGGCTGCCTCGGGGGGTAAGGTCCGAGGGAGGCGCGCTGTCATTGGCTCGCACAGCCAGATACTCAGCTGCAGGCCTGAGGCAAAATCACACCTTATTTTTGAAGGACTTACTACCACATTTCTATTCTAGGTAGAGTTACATCCAACGCCAACATGTAGAGGAAGGGTGAAAATAGTGATATCCATTAAAAAACACATTTTGGCCGGGGTGTTGCTTCACCCCCTTATAATGCTGAGCGCCTCGTACAGTACAGTACTAGATGACCCCTACTTGTTTTGGTGTATATTCAAACATTATCTTTGTTGAGCCTTATTTTGTTGTGTAAGTAATGTGATGGACTTGTATTACTCTCCCTACCAGTACTCCTTTGTGTGCATGTACCTGGTGTTCAGTCTGACCTCCCTAGTGGATCTGAGCGCCCAGGTGGTGTTGTTGTCTGGCGTGACGCACCGTGTAGCCCAGCTGGTAGAGTGTCTCCTCAGGCTACAGACTCAGTGGGACATCACCACACTAATGGTGAGTGTAAACTTGGTGTTGGGTGTGGTCATGGCTGGGGGGATTATGTAATAAGTTAGATACGTAAATAGATATTTGGCTGGTAAGTTACTTATATACAGTACATGTTTGTTGAGTGAAATAAATATATAACTATGTAGATATATTAATTAATTTAATGATTCATATTTATGTTAGTGTACAGTAGGTATATACAATATACCTGGACAGTGTAGGTATACAGTATACCTGGACAATGTAGGTATATACAATATACCTGGACAGTGTAGGTATATACAATATACCTGGACAGTGTAGGTATATACAATATACCTGGACAGTGTAGGTATATACAATATACCTGGACAGTGTAGGTATACAGTATACCTAGACAGTACAGGTATACAAACAATGTACCTAGACAGTACAGGTATACAAACAATGTACCTAGACAGTACAGGTATACAAACAATGTACCTAGACAGTACAGGTATACAAACAATGTACCTAGACAGTACAGGTATACAAACAATGTACCTAGACAGTACAGGTATACAAACAATGTACCTAGACAGTACAGGTATACAAACAATGTACCTAGACAGTACAGGTATACAAACAATGTACCTAGACAGGTACAAGTACATACAAACAATGTACCTAGACAGTACAGGTATACAAACAATGTACCTAGACAGTACAGGTATACAAACAATGTACCTAGACAGTACAGGTATACAAACAATGTACCTAGACAGTACAGGTATACAAACAATGTACCTAGACAGTACAGGTATACAAACAATGTACCTAGACAGTACAGGTATACAAACAATGTACCTAGACAGTACAGGTATACAAACAATGTACCTAGACAGTCAGGTATACAAACAATGTACTAGACACAGACAATGTACAGGTATACAAACAATGTACCTAGACAGTACAGGTATACAAACAATGTACCTAGACAGTACAGGTATACAGACAATGTACCTAGACAGTACAGGTATACAAACAATGTACCCAGACAGTGCAGGTATACAAACAATGTACCTAGACAGTACAGGTATACAAACAATGTACCTAGACAGTACAGGTATACAAACAATGTACCTAGACAGTACAGGTATACAAACAATGTACCTAGACAGTACAGGTATACAAACAATGTACCTAGACAGTACAGGTATACAAACAATGTACCTAGACAGTACAGGTATACAAACAATGTACCTAGACAGTACAGGTATACAAACAATGTACCTAGACAGTACAGGTATACAAACAATGTACCTAGACAGTACAGGTATACAAACAATGTACCTAGACAGTACAGGTATACAAACAATATACCTAGACAGTACAGGTATACAAACAATATACCTAGACAGTACAGGTATACAAACAATGTACCTAGACAGTACAGGTATACAAACAATATACCTAGACAGTACAGGTATACAAACAATGTACCTAGACAGTACAGGTATACAAACAATGTACCTAGACAGTACAGGTATACAAACAATGTACCTAGACAGTACAGGTATACAAACAATATACCTAGACAGTACAGGTATACAAACAATGTACCTAGACAGTACAGGTACACAAACAATGTACCTAGACAGTACAGGTACACAAACAATGTACCTAGACAGTACAGGTACACAAACAATGTACCTAGACAGTACAGGTATACAAACAATGTACCTAGACAGTACAGGTACACAAACAATGTACCTAGACAGTACAGGTGAGGCAAACAATGTACCTAGACAGTACAGGTATACAAACAATATACAGGTTGTACCTCTCTAGTCTGGCAACCTCGGGACCTGACCGGTGCCGGACCATGGAAATTGCCGGACCATGGAAATTCACCCTTTTCCTGGATAGATAGTGACTTGTGCTTATGCCTGGAAGCACTAGCACCACTTTCTCTGCATCATGGTCTCTTTGAAGACATATTGAAGGGTTAAATGTCGTATAGTAGCTTCTCAAATTTCGCGAGTTTTTAATTCTTAACGTATTTTATTGGAACACACACAAAAATAAATAAATAAAAATTTTGACGGCGGAAACTTGAATTTCGACGGGTTTGAACGGCCCGCCAACGTGCAGACGACGTGCATAATCGTGTAAACAGCGTCATTTCTCTTATGTACAAAAGATTCATTGTTGTTTATTACTGAATGTCTTTTTTATTGAATTAATGTTTATGTGTGCAAAATGAGCAATACAATTCATTAATAATATGTAGAATATTAAAACACACGAGGAAATGACACAGCATTGTTTTCGTTGATTACAAAACCAGTGACTGACTGGTTCTACATATAAAACTGAAGAAAATAAGACCCTGGTTGTAGCTGTAGTAAAATTAATATGGTTGTTTTAAGTAATGTTATTTAATGTTAATAAATGGAACAATAGAAGTAGCTAACGATAATGGTAAAGAAAAAAGAGAGATCGCGTATGTAAGTGCGCATGCGCACACGTGAAAACATATCGTCATTACTTTACATAAGAATATGAAAGCAACACTTATTTACTGTTCATATATATTTTAATTAATGTTTCTGAATTTGTTTTTATTGAATTAATGTTTGTGTGTGCAAAATTAACAATACAATTTATTAATAATACGTGGAATATTAGAGGAGACGAGACGGCTGCCGGCATTGTTTATGTTAAAGCTTACAAAACCAGTGACTGATTGGTTCTACATATAAAACTGAAGAAAATAAGACCCTGATTTTAGCTGTAGTAAAATTAATGTAAAAAAATTAATATGGTTGTTTGAAGTACCTGTAATGTTATTTAATGTTAATAAATGGAACAATATAAGTAGCTAACCATTAATGGTAAAAAAAAAAGTGAGACTGCTCGTATGTAAGTGCGCACATGTGAAAACATATCGTCATTACTCTACATAAGAATATGAAAGCAACACTTATTTACTGCTCATATATATTGAAGGGTTAAATGTTGTACTCTGTATAGACAAGCAGAGAGAGAGAGAGCAGCCGAACTGCCGGATGTAAACAAACCTTAATTTCCCGCGGCTTTGTTGTTTTTTTTTTTAGGGGATTAGCCCACCCGGGCATAGGTCACTGACCCACATTGGGGCCTGAGGGGCAAAAATTTAATACTCCTGTAATAATAATAATAATCAGATAAAAAAAAAAAAGCTGCCTATCTACCTATTGGACAAACTAAAATCGTTCCGGACCACGGGAGTTTCCGGACCACAGAATGCCGGACTAGAGAGGTACAACCTGTACCTAGACAGTACAGGTATACAAACAATGTACCTAGACAGTACAGGTATACAAACAATGTACCTAGACAGTACAGGTATACAAACAATGTACCTAGACAGTACAGGTATACAAACAATGTACCTAGACAGTACAGGTATACAAACAATGTACCTAGACAGTACAGGTATACAAACAATGTACCTAGACCAGGGTTCTCAACCAGGGAATTTCCCCCCCAGGTTTTGAGGGGGGGGGGGGAAACTGATACTAATATGGAAAAAATAAAGGATTTTCAGTATTATATGCATATTATTTGGAATGCACTTTTTGAGGCAGATAATCTTGGAAAGGAGGGGGGAATGACATTCTGACATATGGTGAAAGGGGTGCATGGGGCAAACAAGGTTCAGAACCACTGACCTAGACAGTGCAGGTATACAAACAATGGTCAACACTAAGACAATTGGAACAAGGGCAATCAAACTTAACTTGACCTAACCTAACGTAACCAAACCTAGCCATCAGAAGTTTATAACCCAGTGAGACCTTTTGTCCCAACAGCTAGAATGAATTAGAGTAAATAAAATATGTCCTGTGTTGTTCTCACGCCAGGAAGAGAACTTATAAGAGTAATGGAATAAATAACAAAAATAAAGAACATTTATTACTGTTATCCTCTTCACCACTGATCGATTCGCTAGCCGCTTGGGCGATCGGTCACGTCTGTTACGCACTGTTGGCAAATACTGGGCATGTACCGGCTCCTGAATGTACCTGAACCTGCTCCAGTGTTGGTCAAGTCTTGTCTTGAAACAGTTCACACTCGGTGCCGTCACAACACTCTCTGGCAGATTGTCCAAGAGTTCACAACCCTCACTCCGAAAAGTTTGCCCTCACAGTTTTCTGGACTTGCAGCTTCTTCAATCTTGAGCTGTGACCCCTTGTGGGGCGAGCGTCTGCCAGCTCAAAGTAAGGACACTCGACTGAGTAGTGCCCCCTGAGATGCTTATACACCTCAACTAGGTCGCCCCTTGCCCGTCTGTAGTATAAGCTAGGCAAGTTCAGGCGCTCCAATCTCTCAGGGTAGTTCAGGTGCCGAAGTGCAGGCACCAGTCTGGTGGCCCTCCTTTGGACATTTTCAACCAACTGACAGTCCCAAGCATATCTTGGGGACCAGACCGGGTGACAGTACTCCAGATGGGGAAGCACTTCACTCTTGAAGATCGTTATGAGGGACGGACTGTCTAGATATCTGAGCGACCTTCTTATAAGGCCCAATAATTTATTTGCCTGATTTACCTTCTTCTCGCAATGGCCTGAGAACTTCAGCTCATTGTCAACATACACACCTAGGTCTTTCTCACATAGTCTCAAATAGTGCAGTTTCTTCGTCCCGTTGGGACATTTGATATGCCTCATTACCGTTGGTATACCCCAGGTGCATCCTCTTACACTTCGTGACATTGAATCTCAGCAGCCATTTCTTGGCATCATCGGCAAACATTTGTATGGAGGAGTGTACAACGTCAGGCATGTCATTTATGAAACAAACAAACAACAGCGGGCCCAATGTACTGCCCTGTGGTACCCCGCTTGTGACAGGTACAGATGATGATTTCGTGCCATTAATCACCATACACTGCTTGCGGTCATGTAAAAAGTCTTCTATCCACGCTAGGACATTTCCCCGAATCCCATATCCTTCCAGTTTAATTTCAGCCTTTCGTGGGGTACACTGTCAAAAGCCTTGGCAAATTCTAGGTAAATAGTGTCGATATTACCACCTCGTTCCAGAATATGGGTCCAAATATCCAATACCCTGAGTAATTATGTCAAGCCCCAGTATAAAACCGTGTTGGCAATCATTTACAAGGTTGTTTCGTAGTAGATGTTCCATTGCGTCATCTCTGATAATACTCTCAAGTACCTTACATATTATGCTGGTCAGGCTCACCGGTCTATAGTTGTTCGTGGAGTGACGATCATCCTTCTTGAAGATAGGACTCACATAAGCCACTTTCCATTCACTGGGGACCTTTTGTTCTTCCAGGCATTTACAAAACAGGATCTTCAGGGGCTCGGCAACCTCGTTGCACAACTCTTTTAGCACTCTAGGATGCACCATGTCAGGGCCGGGACTATTATGGACCTTTAGCCTGGACAGTCTTTTTGTTATAACCTCTTCTGTATCGTACAGTCTGTCCTCAAACACAGGAAGATTGTTCACATCATCTCTTGTGAACACCGAGGAAAAGAAGCTGTGCAATGCCTTGGCTTTGTCCTGGTTAGAATCTGCGTAACTACCTTCATCAAGTCTCAGATCCGATACTCCTACTCGTGTTTTTATTTTTGACTTTGCATCGCGGTAAAACACCTTTGGGTTTGTCCTGACCTCACTTGCAACCAGCCTCTGGAACTTCTTTTCAGCCCTTCTACACTGTATCTTTGCTTGGTTACTGGTTCTTGCATACATCCTCCTGTCCTGCTCATCGTTTGACCTGACCCACGTCTTGAATTTCTGGGTTTTCTTCTTAACTTTGTCGACCGCCGCATGGTTCATGTGTAGGAATCCCCTCGTACTCCTGGAGGCACTGGGTTTGGTCTTGGGTATATATTTATCGATCAAATAATTTACTTTACTAGCTATGGTATTTAGTGTAGCTTCCACTCTCTTATGCCTTAGTGAGTCAGGCCATTGGATACCCTTCATCTCCTCCCTCATCCCGTCATAATTGCCCTTGTAATATTTGCACCTTGGCCTGGTTATGACGTGCACCGAGTAACAATTAAACCTGAAGGACAACATTACATGGTGGTTGGTGCTAACTGGGGCTAGGTGTTCCAGTTTGGCCACCATACCCTCCTCGTTTGTTGTGATGAGGTCCAGTGGCTTGGGTGTTTTCTCCCCTCTGTAATACGTTGGATCTTTTACATGTTGGAGCAGAAAATTATCTCTCAGAGTTTCTACAAAAAGAGTAGCGGGGTTGTTTAGGTCATTTGGCGTGTGCTCATTTCTCCAGTCGATGTCACCATAGTTAAAGTCCCCCATGATAAGGAGGTGGCTAGGGTTGAGCCTCGCTGTATTGTCTATTAAGACTCTTAAGTTCCTTTGGTTTGGTAAGTTGCAGTTTGGGGATCTGTAGATGCGCCCGACAATAAGTACATCTCCACTTTGATTCTTCTAAAACATCCTCTCCCTGTACCCTCGCCTGGCTGGCTCTAAGGTCTTGCCTAGCACAGATAACCACACCCCTCTTGCAAGTTTCTTGAGAAAGGTTCGTAAATGAGTCATATCCAGCAACACTGAACTCACATTCCTCTGGGTCGATTCTCCTGTTCTTGTACAACAGTTCTACAACTCCTACAATATCGGGTTGGTGCACCTTCAGTAGTGTTTCAAACAAGAATTTGTTCTCGGTAACGTCTCTGATCTTGGTGATAACTCCGGTCCCCCTCCATTCTCAGTGGCTGCAGCATTTGCCAAATACACTGTGTTTTGCAGGGTGTGGTTAGAAATGTCATTGTTTACACGGCGCTCGCCTCTTCCCGGGTCGGAGGTAGAGTGGGTGGAGGGTGTACCGCTGCCCCCCGGCCCAGCGCTGGTTCTCTCCCTACCAGTACCCTCCCCCTGGATATAGCCCATATACATCCATCCTCGTTCCTCCTCGACTCCTCCCTCCTCTGCTTCAAGCCGTGCAAGAGCTTCCTGTGCTGTTCCCTCTGTAATATCGTGCGATCTGGGTGAATGAATACATAATGGAATGTCTCACTCTTTGTTAAGCTTTTTGCCTGCTGAATAACCTGCCATTTCTCCTCCTCACTCACTAGTGTGATCCTGAGGGGGCGAGGCTTGTCTTCCTGCTTTTGTCCCAGCCTCCTCACATCCTGAGGTGAGGGATGACAATTTCAGAACCTCTGTACAAATATTCTCAAACTTCAACGTGTCGTGTGATTTCCTAGTCTCCGCTTCCTCCGACTGGCTCTCAGGGACTCCGTAAACTATTATGTTGTTCCTGCGGTCGAAATGTTCCTGTTGTTCCTCCTCTCCCTTAACTGTAGGTCTGCTAGTTGCCATCTCTTCGACACACTTCTTCAGAGTCCCTAGCTGCTGTAGAACATTTTCTAATCCTGCATTACTCTCCGTCACCTCCCGTGGGCCTTTTAAGACCTCAGCATAACTCCTATTCACTACCACCTCCACTCTATCAGCTACTTCCTCAGTCTTATCAAGGATCTCTTTCCCAACTTGTTCTAGTTTGTCAACCAGCAAGGCTCCAGCTTCATCTACTTTCATCCCTAGGACACTTCTTTCCTTATGGCTTGCAGTTGCCTTATCCACCTTGACTCTGCAGTCGGGCAATACCAGCAACATCCTTTCTGCTTTACCACATTCTGTAACGTCCTAAACTGGGTTAGGCCCACACCATCTATATCTGTCGTCGCCCTACAGTAATTGCATGTCAACAGACTTCCTAGTGCCGCTTTGGTCCCAGATTTTTTGCCCCTCATTGTTGTTGTTGTGTGGAGGAGGGGGGCATGCAGACTCTGTTTGGATCTTCTCAGCCTTAAACCTACCAGTTTACAACATGGTGGACTTATAATTGTCGGCTTACTAATAACAATAATATTGATCTTTATTATTACTATAATAATTGTTTCTAATCTGTGTCCTGGTAGCAGGGCTTTAGCATAAAGGTCCCTTTAAAAGCCCCGCAGGCTCGCTGCTCGAGTATATGGCGCTATGACTAGTGTCACCCACTGGGTTAGCACAATTAATTTCTTCTGACCGAGAGATTTACCTCTTTATAATCACGTCTACTTAGTGAAGTGAGGTGTGTGAGTTATCGTGCTCCTGTGGCAATTCAATGTTATCTTAAAAGAAGGAAAACAAGACCAATAACTTAGCTGCCCTGTGCTGGTCTTAACCTCCCCTCATTCATCCAGTGTTGCCCTCCAAGACAGTTTGAGTTATCTTCTGTTTCCAGTTCTCCTCAACGAGTTGTTGGTATCTATGTGCTATGTACACTGTATCTTGCTATGAATGACGGATCACACTCGGTCCTTTAGAAACAAAAAACTTTCTTTGGGCGGTAATAGAATGGTGATCAAGGTAGCCAGCCCGGCTTGTTTTTGTTTATTTTAACTATTATTTCCTTATATTTTTCTTTCCAGTTCTCATCAACGAATATATCTCTTTGTGCTATCACTCTGTATTTCCCAGGCCTCCTCCTCCTTCACCAACATCACTCAGAAACTCCGACCTAAGTCAGACTGTGGTGAGGGATCTTCTAGTGATTCTCAGTAAGTCATGGTGATTCTCAGTAAGCTATATAAGTGATTCTAATTAGTAAAATTGCAGCTTCACTACCATTGGTTTTTGACCAGAAATCTAGGTTTTTCCAATGGTATTTGGTTTGATTCATTCGAATTTGACCGGAATTGCTGTTGGAAATGAGTCATTTTTTTAGCCCCCCCAACCTAACTTCCTTATCGGAGGGTCCGCCCCCAGACCTCCCGCCATATAAAACAGAAAGTACTTATTTTTATATCTGGTATCAATGAAAACAACTTTATTGAAGTATTATGGTGTAAATTTCATGTTGTTTTTTGTGGACCCAAGAATACCTCAGACCAAGCGGGTTGTTTGTAAGGAAACAGACAACACACACTGACTGCAGAATTACTTAACTCCCTGCGTGAATTTATCATCTCGGTTATTATCAATTTGCAGCACAAGTGGTGTTAGACAAAGTTGTTGAAATGACGTGATGTAACTTCTGGTGAATCCAAAATTGCTCAAACCCAATTGAGAGTGAAACTGTAATAATACCTTTTAATTAATTAACACTAAGTCATTTACAGTAGTGATTCTCATTAAGTAGCACAAGTGATTCTCATTAAGTAACACAAGTGATTCTAAGTTATAATAGTGATTTTCATTAAGTAACACTAGTGATTCTCATTAAGTAACACAAGTGATTCTAAGTTATAGTAGTGATTCTCATTAAGTAACACAAGTGATTCTAAGTTATAATAGTGATTTTCATTAAGTAACACTAGTGGTTCTCATTAAGTAACACAAGTGATTCTAAGTTATAGTAGTGATTCTCATTAAGTAACACAAGTGATTCTAAGTTATAGTAGTGATTTTCATTAAGTAACACTAGTGATTCTCATTAAGTAACACAAGTGATTCTAAGTTATAGTAGTGATTTTCATTAAGTAACACAAGTGATTCTCATTAAGTAACAAGTGATTCTAAGTTATAGTAGTGATTTTCATTAAGTAACACTAGTGATTCTCATTAAGTAACACAAGTGATTCTAAGTTATAGTAGTGATTTTCATTAAGTAACACTAGTGATTCTAAGTTATAGTAGTGATTCTCATCAAGTAACACAAGTGATTCTAAGTTATAGTAGTGATTTTCATTAAGTAACACAAGTGATTCTCATTAAGTAACACAAGTGATTCTAAGTTATAGTAGTGATTTTCATTAAGTAACACAAGTGATTCTCATTAAGTAACACAAGTGATTCTAAGTTATAGTAGTGATTTTCATTATGTAACACTAGTGATTCTCATTAAGTAACACAAGTGATTCTAAGTAAGGAAAACTAGTGATTCTAATTAAATAACAAGTGATTCTCATCAAATAACACTAGTGATTTTCGTTACATAACACTCGTGATTCTAATTAAGTAACAAGTGATTCTCATTAAGTAACACTAGTGATTCTCATTAAGTAACACAAGTGATTCTAAGTTATAGTAGTGATTCTCATTAAGTAACACTAGTGATTCTCATTAAGTAACACTAGTGATTCTAAGTAAGTTATAGTAGTGATTCTCATTAAGTAACACTAGTTATTCTAAGTAAGTTATAGTAGTGATTCTCATTAAGTAACACTAGTGATTCTCATTACGTAACACAAGTGATTCTAAGTTATAGTAGTGATTCTCATTAAGTAACACTAGTGATTCTCATTAAGTAACACTAGTGATTCTAAGTAAGTTATAGTAGTGATTCTCATTAAGTAACACTAGTTATTCTAAGTAAGTTATAGTAGTGATTCTCATTAAGTAACACTAGTGATTCTCATTAAGTAACACTAGTGATTCTAAGTAAGTTATAGTAGTGATTCTCATTAAGTAACACTAGTGATTCTCATTAAGTAACACTAGTGATTCTAAGTAAGTTATAGTAGTGATTCTCATTAAGTAACACTAGTGATTCTCATTAAGTAACACTAGTAATTCTCATTAAGTAACACTAGTGATTCTAAGTAAGTTGTAGTAGTGATTCTCATTAGGTAACACTTGTGATTCTCATTAAGTAACACTAGTAATTCTCATTAAGTAACACTAGTGATTCTAAGTAAGTTATAGTAGTGATTCTCATTAAGTAACACTAGTGATTCTAAGTAAGTTATAGTAGTGATTCTAAGTAAGTTATAGTAGTGATTCTCGTTAAGTAACACTGGTGATTATGAATAATTATTATAATTATTATTACTATTACATTTTCGCTCCCCAGGCCCCGATGTGGGTCAGTGATCTATGCCCGGGTGGGCTAATCCCTGTTAAAAAAAAAAAAAAAATGCCCACAAATTTGTTTTCTTCGGTTTTTAGAGCTTTTCGGTTTTTAGAATTTCGGATAAAGGGTTGTCAACCTGTACTCAAACTGCTTTATGCAAATTCTAAATCTTCACTTTATGAATCCTCCCACCTATGACCCGGGGCATCAGTCATTTCATCTATGGCTCTTAGTTTGATGCATAATGGACTCTGTGATTAAATCTGAATTAGGAGATGTAGTTCTGGCATAAACACTTACTTATATACTGTTGAGGTAGTGTAGCAGTTATCCAGAAAGTTTGGGACTGTTCCTGGAACAACGCAGTGTTGACAATAGAGGAAGGGGAAATGTGTCAAAGGTTAGAGGCAATGGACCCCAGATAACCCCAAAATATTATATACTCTACACTACAGTACGTACTGTAGTATATATACACTACTGTACTGTACTGTATATATACACGACAGTACTGTATATACACTACAGTACTGTACTGTATATATACACTACAGTACTGTATATACACTACAGTACTGTACTGTATATATACACTACAGTACTGTATATATACTACAGTACTGTATATATAAACTACAGTACTGTATATATAAACTACAGTACTGTATACAGTGATCCCTCGGTTAACGAACGCCTCGGCTAACGAGATTTCGGTTAATGAATTACCTTCCATAAGATTCCTAACTTCGGTTAACGAGCAATCCCTCGATTAATGAGTTTTTAACGAGCGCCCCTCCACATGTTTTCGCTTGCATTTGGCGGTCCACCAGCTTTAGTATTAGTCCGCCAAGACAGTAATCGGTTCTAGGGCTTAAATTCCTTACTATTTTAATAATTATCAAGAAGTTTATGCTATTCAATAATTTTAAAAGTTTTATATTAAATTTTTGGTAATTTTAACAATTATTGAACATAATTGAAGTATAGGAAGCTAGTTTTTTGCGCGCCATCCAGCCTGTCAACACACCATACAGGCGTCAGTCTCTGTCTTTTTAGTGGAGGTAACATCTTGCTTGAGACTCTTCAACTAAATGCTTTTTTTTCTGTGTTTCCAAGCAAATTATTGATCAATTTGAAATTTATTTTACATATTGACAATATATAATGCAGTGCAGTGTTAATTTAAAGAAAATAATCTTGAATTACACCAAGAGAACTAAAATTTTATGGGTGAAATGGCACCATGGGGTGACTTCTCTTCCACCCCACTTCCTTCTCTTCTCCCTTCTCCTCCACCCCCATTCTAATTCCCATCATCATCATCATCATCATCATCCAGGAGCCTTCTACATACACACCTCAAAGTAAGTGTACTTTACTACCTTTTTTGTTGATTTTAGGCAATTTTCGGTGAGCTGGAACCAATTACCCAAAAACCCATTGAAACAATGGTTTCGGTTAACGAGCAACCTTCTGGAACGAATTGTGCTCGTTAACTGAGGAACCACTGTATACAGCTCCTCCCAGACTTACGACGGGGTTAGGGACCGGACTTCCAGGTCGTAAGTCGGAAATGCTTAAATAATGCAAAGAAAATCTAAAATGGGTGTCTCTTTTTTTTTTTCATCACCACAAAACTCTCACTTTTAAGCTTGCCAGCCATTTTAAAGTGAATTACAAATGAAAATTTTGTCTGTGTACTGACAATTCGTTCCACAGTCGTTCGTTAACCAAAGATTTTGTTAACCGAATCCATTGTTTCAATGGGATATTGGGTAATTGGTTCCAGCTCACAGAAAAGTACATACAAAGTAAAGAAAAATTGCAGTAAAGTACACTTACTTTGAGGTGTGTATATGGAAGGTTCCTAGTTGATGATGATGATGGGAATTAGAAGTGGGGGTGGAGGAGAAGGGAGAAGAGAAGGAAGTGGGGGTGGAGGAGAAATCACCATTCAGGGGACCCATGCTTGATGCAGTAATTTCACCAATAAAATTTTAAGTTCACAAGGTGTAATTCAAGATTATTTTATTTAAATCAACACTACACTGCACTATACTGTATATTATCAATATGTTAACTAAATTTCAGAATGACCAATAATTTGAATGTAAAAATTCAAAAATATTAAAGAGCACAACTTTCTTGATATTTACTCTACTGGAAATGAATGTAAGCATAGAACAGATTATTGAATTAGCAGACTAGCCCATCAGCTGATGCTCACAACAAAGCGTGATGTTCGTAAGGATTTCGTTAATCGAAGTTTTTGTTCGTTAACCGAATTGAAGATCCCTATGAGAGCCAATTCGTTAACCGAAATTTCGTTAATCGAACCATTCGTTAACCGAGGGACCACTGTACTTTACTTAATTTTGTTTTTACTTTGTATGTACTTTTCTGTGAGCTGGAACCAATTACCCAATATCCCATTGAAACAATGGATTCGGTTAAGGAAATTTTCGGTTAACGAACGACTCTGTGGAACGAATTGTGTTCGCTAACCGAGGGACCACCGTATACATCAGCCTACTAGCTGTGTGGGCAGTTGGTCTGTTCTTTGTTACCTTGTTCAGTGTTAATACAAGAAAAATCCTGTCCCCCCCCCCCCCTTCAGGGCCCAGGTTTGAGCCCAGGACACAGTAGTGAGAGAGACATGTGGTGTCGTAAGGTGGTGGTGGTGGTGTTACTGAGAGTTTTTCACTGACAGGGGAAAGAACTTAGGGTAAAATTATTTTGATTTAACGTAGAGACGACTAGGAGCAGCGGGATTAGGAACAGACAACCAAAAAAATATAGGAAATGTAGGTTGGCGTTTGATGAAAGGAAATACGTTAAATAACCAAAGATTAAATGAGAACACTGAAGGACGTGAGGTTTGGATCACCGGAAGATTAGGTGATGATTGAATGCACTAAAGCTACCTGGGAGGGGGTGGGGTTAGGTTAAGGTAGAGTAGGTTAGGTTAGGGTAGTTAAGGTGGAATAAACTAGGAGGTAAATTTTCAGGTGATCCAGATGTTTTGCTGCAAGTAACTCAGAACTTTGATGTGTAAATGAACGCATAAGATATCCCTGTGTGACATTTTAGATGCGTGTGAAGATTAATGATCTGAGAGGTAGGTAGAGTAATGTAGCTGTGTTATACAGTAGATGGAAGAGGCGGCTCGTGTCTAACTCGAAGAATAGTTACTGAGAGTTGTTGGTTTGGTTGCGTTGAACAGATGCTTACTGGAAGAGACTGCTGAACGTGAACCACCGCTCTGTGAAGATGACAAGTCACTGAACATTGCGTTTATTCTTAGTGACGTGGATATAATCGCTCCAGGGTCGATGCACACACTAGTGAAAAGTAAGTAGAAAAAAAATTATCGTAAAAACTACTGCTTGAGTTTAACAGAACCTGTAATATACGCAAGTAAATCAGTGTAAACACTTTAAGCCCATCGTAGACTAGCTGCCTGTCTACCAACTGCGGTGGCCTCTGTGTAAATTGTTTACATATACTGTACTGCTTGAGTGTTGACCTCTCTGTCTTCAGTGAGTTCAATGTAAGCTGTTTAATGTAAGCTGTCAGTGTGTTTAATATAAGCTGCCATCTTGAGTGTCACTTTGTCCTGTTAAATAGCTTGGTTTTAGTTATGCAGTATAGTACAGTATTCTCCTTCTGTTTTGTGTTCCTTGTACTACACTTGTTGCACTTGTCTTTGTGTAAGGACTTGCCCACAAAATATTCTTACATGTAATAAAAATAATATAATGTACAGGGTGGGTAAGACAAAACTGACACAGGTGCCTCTCTTCAGCTCTATATATATTGTAATTCACATAATAATATACTGTATACATAATACATAAATACCTGTATAATATTACACATAGTATGAATAATATATGGTACAGTATACATATAATATTTCCTATAGAAGATTAAATTTGTATGGTTCCTTTTTGGACAACTTATTTAGCAACTTTAGACAGCAGGTCCAAGATGATACAGTAATCCCTTTACTACAGGGACGCCACTTTTAATATTTTATTTGCTAATGCCAGACGATTTTATTCAGCTCAGAGGGGTCAAGTTACTGTGTGTGTGTGTGTGTGTGTGTGTGTGTGTGTGTGAGTGATCCAGACATTGATATAATCAGACTGTATTGTACTGTATATAATAATGAATTCTTATTCTTCCTTCACCCAGGTCTTCACTTGGATATCCAAAAGGGTGAAAATCTTTTAATAATGGGACCAAGTTCTTCTGGAAAGTCGAGTATTCTGCGTGTGCTGCGAGGACTGTGGCCGGCTGCCCGAGGAACTGTGGCTCACGACTTCCCTCCAGGACCTAAAACTGTCATCTTCCTGCCCCAGAAATCACTTGTCACTAATGGCTCTCTACTAGAACAGGTAAGGTTAGGTCAGGTGGTGTCAGGTCAATTATTATTATGCAGTTTTAACAGAAGGGAAGGTCAGGTTACTTATTATTATGAACTTTAACAGAGAAGGTCAGGTCAGGTCATTACTGGCACTGTATGAGAAACCAGGATTCATGGTAACAAACTGAGTGATTAAGTTGCTTTTAACTCTTGACACCTGAGAGGAATTGTTATTACTGTTCTCTACAGATAATCTATCCCTTGAGACTTGACCCCAGTAATCCAATCAGCAAAGACACCTGTGAAGAGATCCTTAGCCTTCTGGCCTCAGTACACATGAAGGGCCTTGTCAACCGCACTGAGGGCCTCCATAATGACCCTGGATGGAATTGGTAAGTGTTTACTTGATAAATTTACTTCACTATATCTCCTTCGTTTCTTGATTGGCCCATTGGCAAGTACAGTACTGGGCATGTACTGGCTTCAGAAAGATTACAGAGGATAGTACAGTATTCTGAGAGTGACTAATTATGCTTGTCAAATACATTCACTTTTCAACTGCAGCTTCTTATAGTCTCCAAACTCCTCCTTTCTTGATATTTACTCCACTGGAAACGAATGTAAACATAGAACAGATTACTGAATTGGCAGACTAGCCCATCAGCTGATGCTCACAACAAAACGTGATGTTCGTAAGGATTTCGTTCATCGAATTTTTGTTCGTTAACCGAATTGAAGATTCTTATGGAATGTAATTCGTCAACAGAAATTTCGTTAACCGAGGGGCCACTGTATATGTAACTTTATTCATTTATTGAAACTCAAGTACATGCACACACTGTCCTAAGGGCAAAGCTGAACTGTACATGTACTCAGAATAATGGACAAAATGATTACTAAAATTTTAGTCTAGTGCAAACTATTGCATGTTTACATTCAAATTAATCACTATCTTATAAGAATTCCAGCAATGTAAACTATCTTCTCCCCGGCCACTTCTGTGACATTTTATAAGCAAAAAACAAAAACTCAATCTAAAGGACATAAATAAACAAATAAATACTTCACCAGACCTTCAGTACCAACTGTCAAACATGTCACTGTCACCCCCCCCCCCCCCTCCCCCCCCTACCAGCCAGAGTTTGGTGGTTATACAGGAAGCTTTAAGTTTTTATCTTATATAATATCTCAGACTAAAGTTAGGAGAATATAATTTGCATTGATGGAATCCTTGCAAGACAGCGAATAATTTGAATATAAATGTCATATATTTTGCACAGGAGATAAAAATTAATCATCTGTATCACATTACAGTAGTGATTTAAGAGTTCTAGTGTATATGTACGATATATATAGTGATTTAAGGGCGATTTAGGGGAATTTTAGGAGTGTTTCTGACTTGTGTTTTTTGGCTTTACTTTGTATATACTTTTCTGTGAGCTGGAACCAATTACCCAATATCCAGTTAACGTCCGACCGAACAAAGTCCGATCGCATATACGCCGTGGCCCCCCCCCCAAAAAAAAACCACGCGTGACGCCTGCTGAACCACCACTCCACGACCCCCTGATGGAGAAACGATGATCCTCCCCATACTGGTCAGATATTATGTGTTAAAGGAATATGCTTCCTTACTTAGGCATTTTTTAATCATTTGCCTCCAGGTGTAATGTTAACCTACATCTATTGAGGATAAAATCTTTCACCTACAAATTGACAATAACACATTTGCTGTAATCAGACATATCTAGTTGCCTCAACAATTGCAAGTTGCAACTGGGGTTGCAATTTCAAAATCTGTGGCATTACTAAAAATAGTAAAGTTTCTGGTGCACTCTAAGATTAAGAGAGAAAACGGAGGACTCAGGCATTCTGATGTGAGAGAAAACGGACTCGTATGATGGGGGACCAAATAAAAAAAGCATAGCTACATGTTTTGTGGACTACAGTATTAAGCATACCCTTTTCATCACTTTGTAATAAACCTAGCCATGCCTATGTGTGTTTATGTTATTTACCATAACATTATATATATATTTAGTGGGTCTAAATGGTCGTAAAATGGGAAACTTGGGGTTGGGTCTTGGGTGCCTGGAACCAATTAGAATAAATCCCATAGGTTCTGTACTTTCGTTATCGGCGGGGTCCCAATTAGGCGCAATAACCAAGGGATGACTGTATATACTTGTGACACTGGCCAGTTGCTTCTGGTGTTATGGTACAGAGGTACCAAGTGACAGCACTAGGATCCCACTTCCTCTATCAAGGAATAAACAATTAAAATTTAAATTGAAAAAAAAAACATTCAAATAAATTACTATCTTACAAGAATCCCTCCAAGGTAAGTTATATTCACCCAGGTCGTTTGGGTGGAAAATTATGAGAAGAGCTTAGTCACTCTTAAGTAATGATAAATAAACACACAGGCCTTCAGCGCCAACTGTCAAATCTTACCCACCACCCTTGTGTTCAAGATAAAAGATTGGTGATTTCTTTATGTTTATTTTATATAATATCTCAGACTAAAGTTAGGATAATATAATTTGCATTGCTGAAATCCTTGCAAGACAGAGATTAATTTGAATATAAGCGTCATATATTTTGCTCAAGATATAAAAAATGTTGTACATTAGTGTACAGTACTGTAGTACATTTTATAAAAAGTTTTTCACCTGTATTTTTGGGTAGATTTACACAAGTTTCTTCATTTATTTTCACCCATTTACATTCACACACCTTACTAAAATAAACGTAAAATAAATTAGTGCAAAGCTGGAGTGCACATGTACTAATTTGATTATGGTACTAAAATTGTTTTGTCTAGTGCAAATTATAGCATGTTTATATTCAAATTAATCAGTATCTTTCAAGAATCCCAGCTATGTTAATTATATTCACCCAGGTCATTTCACTGGCTTTTTATAAGAGAGAAGCTTAGTCACCTAAGAACTGATAAATATACACGCGTTAGACCTGGGCCTGTGCCAACTGTCAAACGTACTACCTCCCCTCCCCTCACGCCCCCTCGCTTGCTCCCACCCTCTCTCTCCGCCATCTGCTCGGCGTTGCTGGAATCCTTGTAAAACAGTGAATAATTTTAATATAAACGTCATGTATTTTGCACAAGAGATAAAAATTAATCACCTGTATCACATTACAGTAGTGATTTAAGAGTAAAAGTGTATATGTACGTATATAGTATTCCACATACACGTAAGTATAAATAAAAAGTTTATGTGATGATCGGACAACGTCCAATTCGTCACGTTTCCAAGAACGTATCTAGGACGTTAACGGGCGCATGTATATATATGTGTGTGTATATATATGTGTGTGTATATATATATATATATATATATATATATATATATATATATATATATATATATATATATATATATATATATATATATATATATATATATATATATATATATATATATATATATATATATAAGAAATGATTACCATATCAGAACTCACTGATGAAAATAAAGTAAGAAAATAAACAGTAATACAAATACAGTAACTCGTTTGTGGGTTAGTCTTATATATTAACCACCTAAGCTAACCTTTACCTAACCTTAATATGCCTTACCTAACCTAACCTAAATTTAAAATGCATAAAGGTTAAAATGCATAATAGTGTCACCCTAAGATACATTTATATATCACAGGAATGATGCACTATCGCCGGGAGAAATGCAAAGAGTCTGCCTTTTGCGTGTGCTCTTCCACCGACCACAGTTTGCCCTCTTGGATGAAGCCACGAGTGCTCTGAGTCTGGACGTGGAGGACCAGCTGTACCGAGCGTGTCTGCAACTCAACATTACCTTAGTCAGTGTGGGACACAGGCACTCACTAACCAAGTACCACAACTCACTGTTAACACTAGATGGTACTGGTGGGTGGAGGAAGGAGCCCATCCTCCAACAGTGTGTTGATGTGTGACACAAGAAGCCACAGCAGACAAGTGGTAGCATCACCTCTTCCACGATAGTCATGATGGGAACAAATATACTGTAAGACAAGAGAAAGTTGCTCATATAAATGTAATCTAGATGAGGTATATATATTTTTAATACATATTCACTTAGCCAGTTAAGGATGGAGGCCATTATCTTGATGAAGACTGCTGGTCCTCATGAATTGATATTGTATATAAATTTTAAAGCTGTAATAATTTTATAAAACCAGAAATTATTTGGTTATTGTACACTTATGCCGGTGAACTTGCCGTTAACTCCTTCACTATGGGGATGCCACTTTAAATATTTTATTTGGTTAATGCCGAATGATTTTATTCGGCACAGAGGTGACCCAGTACACGAGGGGTTAAATGATGAACTTTGATCAAAATTGAAGTGTCAACTTAAAGCTGTGAGCCTCTGAGGTAGATTTTCTTGTATTTAATGAGTTTTAGTGTATGTTTAATTACCACTTGTGTGTATCTTTGTCATAATGATAATCTTGGTAATTGTTTTATTTATGTTGTAACAATACAAGTTAATCTGGTGATGATTATCATTATGATGTTTGTGCATTTTATACAATTACTCTTGGTAATTGTTAATACGTATCATTATATTGTGATATCATACTATTGACTATGATAATAATTGTTATCATTGTATTGTGACTAGCTGGGGCCCCAGCCTGGTGTTGCTTGAGTTTACTTCAGGCAGCTGATAACCTATGTGTGGATTACACCATCATTTAGACTACATCCACTACACCATCATTATACTACTGTACTGCATATCCACATCACTAGGCTGGTAGTCTTTGATGACCTCAGGAAGTTACTGTCAGCTGTTCCCACCCTGAGGGTTGGGATTAGTTAGGAAGGTGTTTCAGCCATAAAACACTGCTTCAACATGCCTGATGACAACCAGGCCACCACAGCTGTGCCCATCCCCTGGTCTCTGGGCTGTCACCCCAAGCTCACACAAACAAAGACAAACTAACAGACACTGTTTTATATATTGTGATGACTGATGGTGAGTTTTATCAATGATGATAGTACAGTACTGTTGTCTGTGGTGAGGTTAGGTTTATCTTTTTAAATATTTATAAGAGGCTGGACCATCAGGCTTGTTCTTGATGCTCAACATCTACTGACTCTCACCAACCACCCCTACAGTTCTAAAAATAATCAGTAAAACTTTGCAATCGTTCTTCATATAGAGGAACTAATTATCATTTGTATGCACAAACAAATAAAAATGTGTGAGTATCCAGTGAAACACATGTCCCCCTTAGTTACCCTGTACAGTACAGTACAGTGTGTACACTGACAGGGCTCTATGCTGCACCTATTCCTCTGGTGTAGCTCACTGGCAGGATACAAACAGCCAGTTACTGTAGGTTAGGTTACAGCTTTTGTCTTAGTTTATTTTTTCTTAAACCACTTCCTGTTTACTGTAGGGCATATGGAAAACGTGTCAACATAGTACAGTATAAACACACACACACACACACACACACACACCTGCAAAAAATAGTACAAAAATATAAAAAGGACATATCCACACATTGTTGGTAGAAGGCAGAGATGACAGGCATTTCTTGAGGCCAGGCCAGGCCACACCTGCTGGGCAGTTGTTTCATGTCACCACCAATGTTTACACTTGAGGTGTTCAGCCATCTGCTGTAACACTTACCCTTATATTGTGTTTACATATCCTTTGACTTTATAGTTCTTCAACAATTACTTCTTTATTTGTAATTCACTTGCCAGTACTGTACTGTACTGTACAGTAATATTGCTTTAAAGTCACTATATCACCACACTCCTTGTTCATGATCTGAGTCTCATTCCATGGTGTGAAATATTTGTATTTTATTGAGGAATATAATGTGAAGGTGGTCATTATGTTCGTAACACAGTACATTATTCTGTACAGTACTGCACTCTTTTATAATGTTTCACAGTGTATTTGACAAAAATATTTTATTAAATATTTATATTTTGCACTTATAGTATATAGTTTTATGTATTTATACTGTGCAGTATAGTACTGTATATATACAGTACGCCGGGATAATTTGCAGATTTTTATTTCACGGACCTCTATTATTCGCGGATAGACAGTATATATGTGTATGTGTATAGACACACACACACACACACACACATCTACTGTATATACAATACAGGTAAAAGAAAACAATTTCCTGAGCCCAAACACATTAAGGAAATATACATTTCTTTGTACACGCAAAAAAATTTACCTCCACCCCCCCACCAGTTAGTAAATGTTATTCATCGATTTGGCGATTCGCGGCCATTTTGAGAACTTGACTCCGCAAATTATATACAGGTTGTACCTCTGTAGTCCGGCATTCTGTGGTCCGGAAACTCCCGTGGTCCGGAACGATTTTAGTTTGTCCAATAGGTAGATTGGCAGCTTTTTTTTACTTATCTGAATTATTATTATTATTACAGGAGTATTAAATTTTTGCCCCTCAGGCCCCAATGTGGGTCAGTGACCTATGCCCGGGTGGGCTAATCCCCTTAAAAAAAAAAAAAACGCCGCAGGAAATTAAGGTTTGTTTACATCCGGCAGTTCGGCTGCTCTCTCTCTCTCTCTCTCTGCTTGTCTATACAGAGTACAACATTTAACCCTTCAATATATATGAGCAGTAAATAAGTGTTGCTTTCATATTCTTATGTAGAGTAATGACGATATGTTTTCACATGTGCGCACTTACATACGAGCAGTCTCACTTTTTTTTTACCATTAATGGTTAGCTACTTATATTGTTCCATTTATTAACATTAAATAACATTACAGGTACTTCAAACAACCATATTATTTTTTTACATTAATTTTACTACAGCTAAAATCAGGGTCTTATTTTCTTCAGTTTTATATGTAGAACCAATCAGTCACTGGTTTCGTAAGCTTTAACATAAACAATGCCGGCAGCCGTCTCGTCTCCTCTAATATTCCACGTATTATTAATAAATTGTATTGTTAATTTTGCACACACATACATTAATTCAATAAAAACAAATTCAGAAACATTAATTAAAATATATATGAACAGTAAATAAGTGTTGCTTTCATATTCTTATGTAAAGTAATGACGATATGTTTTCACGTGCGCATGCGCACTTACATACACGATCTCTCTTTTTTCTTTACCATTATCGTTAGCTACTTCTATTGTTCCATTTATTAACATTAAATAACATTACTTAAAACAGCCATATTAATTTTACTACAGCTACAACCAAGGTCTTATTTTCTTCAGTTTTATATGTAGAACCAGTCAGTCACTGGTTTTGTAATCAACGAAAACAATGCTGTGTCATTTCCTCGTGTGTTTCAATATTCTACGTATTATTAATGAATTGTATTGCTCATTTTGCACACCCACATTAATTCAATAAAAAAGACATTCTGTAATAAACAATAATGAATCTTTTGTATATAAGAGAAATGACGCTGTTTACACGATTATGCACGTCGTCTGCACGTTGGCGGGCCGTTCAAACCCGCCGAAATTCAAGTTTCCGCCGTCAAAATTTTTATTTATTTATTTTTTTGTGTTCCAATAAAATACGTTAAGAATTAAAAACTCGCGAAATTTGAGAAGCTACTATACGACATTTAACCCTTCAATATGTCTTCAAAGAGACCATGATGCAGAGAAAGTGGTGCTAGTGCTTCCAAGCATAAGCACAAGTCACTATCTATCCAGGAAAAGGGTGAATTTTCATGGTCCGGCAATTTCCATGGTCCGGCACCGGTCAGGTTACGAGGTTGCCGGACTAGAGAGGTACAACCTGTATATCTATACAGTGGGGTATGCTATAACGAACGGATCCTACTACGAATATTCCTATAACGAACGGTTTTACCTATAAAATTGAGAATGCTATAATGAACGAAACTCCTACAACGAACATTATTTAAATTTTTTTTTTTTTTTTTTTTACTAATTTGTTTTTTTATTACAAGTATTAATGATATTCTTTATTTCAGGGGTTTAGATGCATATTTGTGTACTTTTTTACAATTTTATATTATATTTTTCAGTGTTAAGTGGTTGTATTTGGGGGCCTAGAACGGATTAATCCTATAATGAACGCATGCTATAACTAACAAGGTTCTAGAACCAATTAGATTCGTTATAGCATACCCCACTGCTGATAATCACAAGAAAACACGAAGTTCCCAAGTGCTTTCATGTAATTCATGTCGTCATGCAAAAGTTTCATTACCTCCCCTTCAAGGTAGTAGGCAAAACTAGTTGTTTTAGCTCCTTCTGGCCTGGCCTTTCCCTAAACAGCAATCTGTTGCAAATGAGCAATCTCCCTCTCTGCTTCCATAGGCTGTTAAAATCCTGGCCCTTTCTCAGCTGCTGTAATTCACTTTCTCCTAGCTGCCTTTCTAGGCCCTTTCAGCATGATGAAATGTTACTGTCCTGCTCCTGCAGTTGCTCCAAACCTTCCTGAGATATGCTGGGAAGCCACATTAACTGTCCAGTCACCTGAGGGCTATCTGCTCCTTCCTCAGCTGGGCATGGGGTCTCATTATTCTCACCACTAAGGGAACTCTCCTCCCCGAAAGCATCTATGGCCATAGCTTCAACCCTCTCGGAGGAGTCATCTGCCTCAGGTTCTGGCTCATGGCTCTTTCTGGATAATCCATCTGCATTCCCATTTGCTTTCCCTGCCCGATATTCCAGATGATAATCAAACCGGGCTAAATCAGCCACCCATCTCTGTTCTACTGCCCCAAGCTTTGCCTTGTCCAAGTAAGTCAAAGGATTGTTGTCAGTGAGTACAGTAAACTTGCTGCCTGCCAGATAGTCTTTGAATTTCTCTGTGATGGCCCACTTCAAAGCTAGCAGCTCTAACTTCATGCTACTGTAATTCTTCATATTTCTCTCCGACTCCTTCAAGCCCCTACTGGCATAGGCAATAGGGTGTTTTCTGCCTTCTACCTCCTGTGACAAGACAGCTCCTAGCCCCTGAAAACTGGCATCGGTCTCTAGGAAAAATGGCTTGCTAAAATCAGCACAAATCAAAATGGGTGCCATGACTAACTTGCCCTTTAGTTGGTTGAATGCATCATCATGCACCTGGGTCCACCTTGTACAGATGGACTGGTTTGGGGCGGTGGCACCTGAAGTTAGGGCTGTTAATGGGGTAGCTAATTTTGAAAATCCAGGCGCAAACCGTAGGTTTAAAAGAGGCAAACCCAAGGAAGGAACGTAACTCCCTAATGGTGGTGGGAACCTGCCACTGCTTAACAGCCTCAATCTTAACAGGGTCTGTCTCAATTCCCTTCTGTGACACTACATATCCAGGATAGGCAACCTTCCTCTGAAACAGGTTGCATTTGGATGGTTTCAGTTTCAAGTTATGTCCCTTTTGCCTAGAGAGCACCATTTCCAGCCTTTCTATGTGCTCATTAAGTGTCTTTGAGAATATCATGAGGTCATCTAGGTATGCCAACAGGGTTGAAAATATCTCACTGCCAAAGATGCTCTCCATGACTCACTGAAATGTTCCGGGAGCATTACATAATCCCATTGGCATGCGTTTATGCTCAAACAGCCTGAATGGTGTACAGAAAGCAGTTTTTTGGATGTCCTTGTCCTCCATCTCTATCTGATAATATCCTGAGGCTAGATCGAATGTTGAAAACCACTTTGCTCCTGCCAATGCATCAAGAGACTTATCAATTCTTGGGAGTGGAAAAGCATCCTTACGCGTGGCTTTGTTCAGTTTCCTATAGTCGACACACAAACACAGTGACATATCTCGTTTCTTCACCAGAACAATCGGGGCTGCATATGGACTAGTGCTTTTCTGTATGACCCCCTGCTCCAACAGCTGGTTGATATGGTCCCTAACCATTTGGATTTGAGTGGGGGGAACCCATCTGAAAGGCTGCCTAATGGGAGTCTCATCTACGAGAGGGATGGTATGCTTGATTATCCCAGTGCATCCTAACTTTCCCTTGCTGTCCAGAAAAACATCGCGGTACTTCCGCAACACACTCCAAAGTCTCTCTTGTGTGTTACCGGGTATTTGTTTTAGGTCAATCTTCAGCCCTGTTTGCCTTAGATCTTCTGGCATCTGCCCATCAGCTGGGCATTCTGTCCCCCGTTCAACACTGTTTGAGCTCACCTCTGCTGTTTCTTGTTGAGGACACAGATCGGCCCCACGAGCCACTCCAACATGCCAGTTTTGCTTTAGCCACATGCAAGAATTACCCACATTGGCCACAGTGGCAACCCCCTTACCGTACCTAATGGTAGTGTATGAAGGGATAAGAAGGAGGTTGTGAGGCAGCCACCCTTCTCCCTCCTGCATTGGCTCAATCAAGACTTCAAGTTTGGGACATCTCCGTAAGCTTCGGATGTAAATACTGACTTGCAGGGATTCTTGTTGGTTTCCACCTAGTAGAGGAGGCAAACCCCACTTGGTCTTTCTGCTGCCATCGATGGATACTCTCAATCTCTTGGAA